ATTACAGACCAATTTCTATTTTACCTGTATTTTCTAAAGTAATTGAAAAGTTGTTACATAAACGAATAGTGTCATTCTTAACCAAGCACCACATTATGACGCCTTTTCAATTTGGTTTCACAAAGCAGCGCTCAACAGAAACTGCCCTACTAATGCAAAAAGAAATCATACTCGATGCATTTGAAAAGGAAATATATACACTTGGAATTTTTGTAGATTTCTCAAAAGCATTTGACAGAATCAACCACATTACATTAATTAAAAAACTAGAACACTACGGTTTTCGGGGGAACTTTATAAGTGTCATAAAAACCTATTTGAAATACCGACAGCAAAAAGTAGATATAAATGGCTACGCATCTAGTTTTAAAAACTGTCACATGGCGTGCCCCAAGGAAGTATTCTGGGTCCCCTGCTTTTTAATCTGTATGTGAACGACTTGACAAACATCGATAACAATACAACATTTATTATTTATGCAGATGATACCAGCTTATTTTTTAAAGACTGCGATTTGCATAAACTAGTTGACAAAGCAAATAGTGTCTTGAAACTGCTGCACATTTGGAGCATAAGAAATTCGCTAATTATAAACACCTCAAAAACAAAATCTGTGCTCTTTCGTCCAATAAATAAGCCCGTAAACTGCGATTTATCATTAGTGATTGGCTCAGAATCTATAAGGATTGAACCGATAGTGAAAACTCTGGGAGTTTTTTTCCACGAAAACATGCTATGGAAGGATCAGGCTGAGTTTGTCCATGCTAAACTTTCTCGTACTGTAGGTATCTTATCGCGCTTACGTTTTCTCTTGCCACAAAAAATTAAACTCTTACTATATAATTCGCTATTTTTATCTACATTAAGCTATTGCTATCTAGTATGGGGCACCACATCGGAAAAGAACTTAGGCCGAATATATAGATTACAGAAAAAGGCTGTGCGCATAATTACAGGTGTTCCTCGCGATGAACATTCCAAACCCATTTTCGAAGCCCTTATTTACAACCAATGCCTGAGATATACAATACAATTTTAATGAAGCGATATCGTACTTCCTTAAAGAATCACGACTCTTTTCTTACTGATTTAGCGCGTTTGACACCCTATACCTGCCCCTATAGCACACGAGCTACCGATGACTGGAAAATTCCTTACACACGTACTAACTATGGTCGCCAGATGATGAGCTACTTACTGCCACTAACCTTAAACAGTTTCTTACAATAAACCATTTATACTGCTCCGTTCTGTAAATGTTTTTCAACGTGTTAATAAAATTCAAATCGGCATGACCTTGAAGTACATGTTTTGATATTGTATAATAACTGATGATCTCATGCTGCTGTTGCTGTTGCTATGTTGTCAAATGGTGCGAAAGCCTTCGTCAAGCCTTAATGGCTTTTTGCTTTCGCCCCACAGCATCACTGTTGTGACTTTTGTAATGTCTCCTGTGATGTCGGAATAAACTGAATTGAATTGAATATCGGTGGAATCTCTCCCCTAGGTTTAGCTGACCGATCTTCTCTAGTATGGCCGTGGGCTTAACGGGGTCGAAAGCACTTCGAGCCCGAGTATGGCGCGAAGGTGCGTGCTCGGTGCATCAACGACTAGTTCTTTAACCTGCAGCATTTTGATGATGTGATATGTGGTGTTTAACGTCCCAAAACCACCATACGATTATGAGAGACGCCGCAGTGGAGGTCTCCGGAAATTTTGACCACCTGGGGTTCTTTAACGTGCACCCAAATCTCAAATCTGAGCAAACGGGCCTACAACATTTCCGCCTCCATCGTAAATGCAGCCGCCACAGCCGGGATTCGATCCCGCGACCTGCGGGTCAGCAGCCGAGTACCTTAGCGACTAGACCACCGCGGCGGGGCAACCTGCAGCATTGAGTCCTGTGTGTAGAGTCCCTGCCGGAACCCGATGATGTGAGTGCCAAACGCCTTTCACCTTTCGAGGAGCGTCGCCACCCTATCGAGGCAGGCGTGCTCCATCACCTTGCCGACGCACGACGTGAGAGAGATCGGCCTCATGTTCTTGACTATACCAGTGGCTTGCCCGGTTTGGGTATAAGCACCACGTCCGCGATTTTCCATTTACGCGGAACCCGACCTGTCCTCGAGCACTCATCGACATACTCGCATAGGTTCACGATGGCGTTGTCGTCTAGGTTTCTGAGGATCTTGTTTGTGATTTTGTCCGGGCTAGGCGCCGACTGTGTTTTGAGTAGCTGAAGAATCGCCCTGATCTCCTGCACAGAAAAGTCCGCGTCGAGCTCTTCGTTAGGTGCGTCCGTATACTCGGGGTTATTTAGGCCTTCGGGGCGAGTGAGGTGCGTCCGCACGACCTCGTCCGCGAGGGCCTCCGGATTGTCACTGTATTTGTGCCGCGACTTGGCCATCTCTGTCCGAACTGCCGTCCTGGTACTGGCGGGGTCTGGCAGGTGCTTCAGGATCTTCCAGGTGCGTCCCGCGCTCATATTTAAGTCCATGGTATTGCAAAGCTTTTCCCATTCCTGTTCGCATAATCGGGAGCAGTGTGTCTCAATTTCGCGGTTGACTTCAGAGATTTTTTTTTCCCGTAGCTCTTTATTAAACTTCTGCTTGCTTACCCTGTGCTGCACCAATTTTTTGGCTTGGACGAGGTGCGCCAGACGGCCATCCACTCTGGTTGGGTCAGGGGTTTCAGTTCTCTTGCCACCCAGGGCTTCTTCTTCCCACCAGTCCGTCCATTCGATTTCTTTAGTGGCTTTCTCCCCATCAGCTAGGATTTTCTTGCACCATGACCCAATATCCTTGATGGGGTCTTCCTTCTCGTTGTCCCTGTTTTTGCGAAATTTGTCGCAATCGACGATCCTGACTTTGCAATTTGCGCTTTGTTCTGCGTTCCTGCCAACGAGCAAGTTGAGGATTCGATCATCGCTTTCTGGGTCTTCAAACGTATTTTCCCAGCTCACTACGTCCATGTTAACGCACAGTAGAAACAAATAGAAACAACGAGGTTAGTGTTCGAATTCTGCGCTTTCACACTTTCAAGGCTGGCGCGGACTAGTGCAAGCTTTGCGATTTTTTTCTATGGTTTGGGGTTGGGGATGCGCGGTTATAAATTGCCATATAGATGGAAATAGCGCCTCGATATGCACAACTGTGCATGTTGTCGGGCACTGGAAGCACCTATAGACTGCCCTGGCCATAATGTAGGCCTTGTTTCAAAGGCGTACTTCGACGCATAAATTTCGGTCTGTCTGTCCATGTGTGTGTGTGTGGTGTGTCTTTTCTGTTTTCTGTCGGTCGCCCGCGGTGATTACCAGTGGCCACTTTTTCAAAATTTTAAAGTGTCTATGGACTATTCGTAGGAAGGGCTTGAACTCGCCCATTTGACTCGACAGGCTATTACCACTGGCTAAAAAGTTAATTGCGCTACTTTCTATACTTACTGCTGTAGATAATATGTTTGCACCCATTTGAAGATGGCTTGTGCCACAGGAAGGCAACGCCGCAAGTAGAACGCAGATAACTCCTTTCTGTACTTTTAAAACAATACTGGACACATTTCTTGAAGCACGCTGTATAACAACAGTCAGCTGTCATGACGCACTGTACTCTGCATGCGAGCCCTAAGGCGTCAATTTTATGGCAAACGTAATTAAAGACTGCAATGTTATTGCGCATGAAGCTACACGGCAACCGCGCGAAACACGCTGCTTTTGCGCCGGGCAAATGCAATCATTTTCCGAAACAACACTTGCGATTTCTCAACAAGGTGCTGACCTCACATAAGCGGATGACAGCCACGGGGTCCGGAATCGGGGGGGGGGGGGGGCATGCCCCTTGATTGAAAGCTGCTACGACCCCCCCCCCCTCCGTTTCTCACCTTACCAAAACAGATATGTAGAGACGCCCATATATATATGCCCACAAACGTCGCCCCAACACTTCAGATATACTTATATTCTTCCGGAGCCCCTTGTGTCAGCAGTGGGAGTGAACCTTTCCCGTCGTATTCTGTGTAGCCATGCAGCCCATCGCTTGGCGTCATTTTTCCCTCTGGGAACAGCAAAAAGGACCTTGCCCGTTTCCCGCCGGCTGCTGCATCCAAAAGTGCAGCACCCTGGCTTTTTTTTTATGCCTCAACAAGCGTTCGATTGAGAGTGCAAACGGCACTTGACGTCTAAAAATTTCTGCATGCTTTTCTGAGGCTAGAAAAAGAATCTCGCGCCAACGCACCGAACTCGGGCGGCCGGGAGAGACCGTCGAACCGAGCGAGTTGGCCCATTTCTGTAGCGAAGCCCACCGACTGCACGCGGCGGCAAAGAGAGACGGATCGCGGCACTTTCCCCGTTCCAGCAACTTTAACGTAGCGCCTCCTCGGCAATGTTCTCGCGCAGAACGCCGGCCATATAAACGTTTTATTCTCTCTATCCAGAAGAAAGACTCCTCTTGCGACGACCTTTACCAGCGAAGCACGGTGATACGCCGCCATTTTTTTTTTCTATACCATACCTTGCGTGGTTCTTCGGGTGCTTAAAGGTAAACATTTGACAGTTTTGCCTGGTTGGGATACAGTTATCATTAGAAAAGTGACACCAAACAACGTAATAATAAAAGTAAGAAAAAAGCTTCTTTTAATTGAAATTAGATTATCTCGACGTTTCAGGTGCAATCGGAACCCTTCTTCAGGGGTGACTGTAGGGCTCCAGAAAGCATCAGAGTTGGTAAAGCCTTCTTCTCTTCAAATCGGGGAGGGTCACGTTTGTTTCGAGTGACTGAAATAGACACTTGACAGCACACCCGCAGACCTGCATTCAAGACACCGGGTGTTGGCTGAATGCATCACAAGCGTCTATTTATGGGAATCGTTCGAGTTTGTACAATGGCATGTCGCCACCCTTTGTTATGGCATTTTTGGTGAAGCTGCCCCCTGCCCCTAGTGTCGCTTTCTGTGTCATGACATGCTGACTATGGCGTATACTTTTGCACGCGCAACACTTTCAGGGCCTGTTCCTGTTCTACGCGTTCGTGTGCAACCGCAAGACGTACCACCTGTTCCGGTCGCTGTTCTGCAACGTGCGCCGAGGAGCCCGGGCGAAACTCAGCACTTCCAGCTCCGTCAGCTCCGTTTCCACAGTTACCAGCCAGGCCAGCGTGTCTTCCACGCGCTCGACGCAGTCGGCACTGACTGCGATCCGATAGACGCATTGCACATTTGCCCTCAACCATGTGCCCACATTGGGGTTCCCACACAATCCCGCAGTCCTAACGTGCGACCGAGTGCAGGAAATATAACTCAACAAAGCCGCAAGTTGGGCAAGTCCCGACAGGAGCGAGAATGAGGTTGAGTGAAATTTCCGGTTCGCTACCCTGCACTGGGAAAAGAAAAATGGGCATGAAAAGGTAAGGAGCCGAAAAAGGAGGGAAATGTACAAATAGTTCATTATAGTACTGAGCAATATCACGAGACAGAGGACGAGATAACACGGGTGCAGCAAGAGAACAAGGATGCAGTACAATGGTGCATACAGCTCTGCGTCCTATAGTTGTTTCGTGTTTGCGCACAGTACCACAATGAAAGATTGCAGGCCATATTGGGGCTCGGACTTCACTGATTTTCCTAGCTGCGCTGCTCCGTGGTGCGCATATGGCGTTTTATACCGCATGATGGAAGCTGCAAGCACAAACGTGGCACCTCATAACGAGATACATGAAATGTGTTGGCTTGTTTACACGCTTGCACCGCCAAGTGCTCTTTGGCACTTCCGATAGCTGCTAGTCAAAATAGAAGTGGTAACGGGAAGAAGCTCCATGTATACAGGAGATTTCGCAGAAGTTTTGTGGAGTTTTGAGCCAACCCTTATCACAGACCGATCTTATATCGTAATCGAAAGGTTTGCTATGATTTTTGTCTTCACAAAGCCTCCAGGCTTCAAGCGTACGCTGGATTGTGGCCTCGCGAACAGCGGCCTCCCAAACACTTATTATGTATTATGTAAAATGTGCTCTTCATTGCAGAGTTGATACTGCTCATTCGTATGGTTGACATATCAAATGCAGGGACAAATTTAAGCGCAAGGTCACTGGGACATAAAGTCAGTTTTTCTGTGCGGCACGCTTTGTCCTAGTCATCAAGATGAGGAAGAGAAAAACTCTATAAAGGGCCTGTAAACCAGGGAACGGAAACTCGCTATACCTTCCATGTCCTCACTCTCGGCAGCTGCAACGCCGCTTTTAGCACTGGCGGTTGCCGCGCATGCTACTAGAAATAAATCACGAACAGAAAATTTCTTTCATGACGTCACTGGTGAGGTCCTCAAATAGAGAGAAAGGACGAAAAACCTAGCGGAGGGGTGCCGCGGAAGCCCTCCTTTCCCACTTCGCATGCAAGCGGAATGAGCTCGTGTCTTCTTTCAGGTCCTCTGGCCGCTTAGGCAATGCGCGAATGAAATTTTGTTAGTCTTTTCCTTTTAAATATTGTTCGTGTTTTCTGAAGAGGCGAAAGTTAGATTGACTGATTTTTCAGCAAGACGAAACTCGATCTGCACAAATATACTAAACTTTAATTTTTTATCGCGCGTTTTGTATAAAAAAACAGACACACGTAGCCTGAAAGTCTCAATCTATAAAAACAGCTTTAATTTACGGACATAATCAGCAAAAATTTAACCCAAGATATCCGAACCAATGCGAAAATTATCAAAAATCACACGTGGCGCACGTCGTATTTGACTCAATCACGTTTGTGTCGACGGCGCGCATAGTTTTCTTACAGAACTTGAATACAAACGAGACTTGAAGTTCAGAGGCACAGGGAGGCTTGAAGCGATCACAAGTTTTTCGAGAAAGAACATCACTGAGTACAGCGTTTCGGCAAGTTGACTTGTCTTCGTCAGGGCAACAGCGTTTCCTGAACGAAGAGAAGTTCACTTGTCAAAACGTTGGCACATTCTCTGTAATAATTTTTAAAAGCATTTATTCCATTACGTGTACTTGAGTGGCACTATTAGAAGTAAAGACTCAAAAGTATTCAAACCGCGGCTACAAGAATTTCGTGAGCAGGAAGCAGCCTATAATTACTTGACATCATTTGAACTACACACCGAAAATAAAAGAAACTAAAGCTATGTAGCTCAACTTGAAACCTTTCAATAAACGCATTGTCCCGACAGCAGCTTGGCTGCCGTTTTCACCAATTAGTCAAACGACATTGCACTTCTGTCAGTCCATCCAGGCTTGCAGAGAACTGGATTTACTCATATGTACTCATGCAAATCGGTACCTGCTAAAATAATGAGTCTAAATTCTTGTGCTCACCTGTTGGCTTTAGGTCACGCTAACTAGAACTAGAAACCCCAGGGTTAGCACACCGCAAAGCCACGGAAAACATGTGCTGCCCGATTAAGTCATCTTCGGCGAATGATGCACGGTTGACTTGTTGGGCGTACAGCTTACTGCTGCTTCCGTTCTCTGCCCGCCACACCTTGCTGTCTTTGGAGAGTTTTAGCTGGGCGGGTTTACGAGCGAGCGGAGAGGGAAGCGAAGCGCGACCCGATAAGATTTTCGCAAACCCGCCCAGCTAAAATTCTCTAATTTATCTTTCCCGCAACTGACACGCCAACCAAGCGAGATAACTGAGCGCGATCCAACTTATAATATCGCTGAGCGAGGAGCGAGAAGGAGAGGAGGCAAGCGCTACGAACGCAAGTCAATCAGTTCCCGCGCTTCGCCAGATTTAAAATGAACGAAATAAGGAATACGAAAAGACATATAAACAAAAAATAATTTCTTTACAGGGTTATCAAATTTTTTTTTATTTGTAAAAACTTGTGAAGGCCCATAAATGCGGACATTCACATTAACGTCACTCTGATCGCTCTTCAATCTGATCTTATAGGATGCCCGGCAACCGCTACGAGCGTGCATGCTTTTTTTAACTTTAACTAACACTGAGTTTCCGGGGCCTGCGTAAACCACCTCCGATAAATAGATGCTAACCTTTATTGAAAAATATCTAGGTGCACGATTCAGTTCGCAACGGGCCGCCATCGATGTATTTTTCCAACATTTCAAGTAAACGAACGCATGGAGTTCAAAGTGGCCTCACAATCAACAGCAGACGGCCAGCGCTGAGCGCTGCAAGCAGGCCACAAAATTATATTTGTCGATAATAAGAAATCCCGTGCTCCTCTCAGGGCATTTCTGTAACCCCAGAGTTCGCCATGACGTCACCAGTAGTATCTGGTCACGTCATCAGCAGAAAGAACTTGTTGGTCTGTCTGCAGTCACGCGCGCTCCCATCCTTCTCGAACGGCGAGGAGGAGGTTAAGAAGGGAGACGAACAACAACGAGGGCAACATTTCGATCATCAAACGCGTGTAACTCCACTACTACGCTGAAATTTTGAAAAAATTCTCGCGCCCACATGTTTGTAGTAGACTCATGCACGATAATAGAGGTGCACATGCAGATTTCCCGTCAGGGATGGGAAAGTTCGTGGCAGCACTGCCCCTCCTATTATGTCAATGTACGAGGCTAACTTTGCGCCTTCTCCCCTCTAACCTCCCCAACCCGTGCGCACGCCATCGTGCACGACTGCAACACCATAGCTCAATTCCTACCTCATGAGAGAGGTCGGTCAGAGGAGCTTTGTCGTCGACCCGCCACTCAACAAAGGAGAATGAAAAGGAGGGACTGCGAATGACGATGGTCGAGTAGAAGGAACTGTGGACATGTGCAACATGCGTACATGTTCTGCGCCTGAAGCTCGTCTTCGTCACAATGAGCAGGCGCTGGAGCCACTCTCCGCTAAATATGTCCTTACATATACGTGTTGTCATGTGACATGCTCTTAGGGTGTCCTCGTACGTGCATAACTCGTTACAAGGCGCTCTTAAAGCTTATTCAAGCGAGTATTTGCACTACACGTCCCATAATATGGCTGCTGTGTCTGATGGCAGCCATAAGACCTAGGTATTTTCAAGTTTTCTTTCGGCACTTCAATAACGCCGTGTAAATACATGTATTAAACGCAAATATACCTCATTGTGATTACTATTCATAACGTATATAGATGTAAGTGTGGCTACATTTTGTCCTGACGAACAGCACCATGCATATCGTTGCTGCTGCATGTATTGGGATAGCGCGTGCCTTTTGATTCCAGCAGCCGTGCTACCATCACGGATCCTGTACGTGTGGTTGGATTTTGTAAGTTTTCAATAAACACTTCGATACATTCAGCAACCCGATGTGAAGGTCGACTCACGTGCGAGTGTTTCTCTGCGGGTCATCAAGAAGTGAAGGACGGGTAGCTTCAAAGCATGCATTTGTTTCTCAACATCCGGGGACACGCCCTTGTCGCTGGCGGGCAGCCTGCAGATGGCAGCAGTGCACTTGAACGAACGTTATCTTTAAACGAATGTAGTCGGCAAAGTTGAGCTAGTCTGCAGGATCCTTCCCATAGCCAGGATGGGCGGGATGCCAACCCCCCCAACCCAGACAATTTTCTGTTCACGTGACGTCACACACAAGGGGGCGCTAGCGTGACAGCCGCCATACTTGATGTTTCGCACCCGATCATCATCATCGTCGGACCACAACCAATGCTCTCGGCAGCAAAAAGAGGTTAGTGAGGTGCAGCGCCGCCAAACATCAGGCTGTCACGTGCCGGATCGCCGACAGACAACGGCTATGGCGGCGTACTCACTGGCACCACCTTGCAGTGACTATATATATATATATATATATATATATATATATATATATATATATATATATATATATATATATATATATATATATGCACGTACACACAAACACACGCACGAGAAGACATCAGTGCCTTCCAAGAAAATTTCCGACGTGTGTCAGTTCTATCGTCTCTCCTTCATATCAATATTTAGCGTTCACCTCCCCTCCCTAATGGCGCTGGGCCCTGCCATTATGACAAGAGGCAGAAAGTGGCGTCCCTTATCTCGTCTTCTATCACTAACCAGCCTCTCCTATCCGGATCACACGTCGGATAATCCGGAACAATGAAGCCACGCCCACCCCAAGATGGCATCTGCAGCCTCGGTTTTAAAACGTGGCAAGATAAAACGTTGTCGGTCAGCGAAGAAAAGTTGGATGTTTTACTCCCACACCCTAAAAAGTTTTATATGACAGACAGACAGACAAGCAACTTTATCAGACTTTTTTTCGGGCATACACAGCTCAAGTGAATTAGCTTTTTGTTTAGCAAAGGCGAAGTATTGACTTGTTTCATTGGCGATCGAGTCGCAATACCTATCTCCATAAATTACTTTCATCGGTAACGTCTTATTTTAGAGTTGAATGGACACCAAAGGCAAAACAAAACTGTGTTGCTTTTTTAAAATATCATTACAGAAGCAGCATAGTGCTTGTGTGGAGCCAAGAAAATGCTTAGCTCGATATCAAATCGCGCTTCAGTGGTACGCATGTGAGCGCAATTCAAACGACCGGTCCCTCAAGGACTCGTGACGTAAGCCTTCCAAATTTCACCCTTCCCAAACCCTACAAACTTCGAGAAGACGGCGCACATGACTTGTCAATCTCCTTGCCCTGTACGTGGTTGCTCGTTTCCAAATAAAGTATTGTAAATCACAGCTTGCGTGTGCCACCTCATCAGTCTCCTCGTTTTCGGTGGATCTACCCTGCGTCATGCTATATACGTGAGAAAACCTCCTTGGATCAGATGACTGACCGAAAAAAAACTCACGCAGACACCACGGAAATGATTCAAAGGCTAGTGCTTTTATTATTCTCTCCCAAGACTATCCTCGCAATATTTTTTTAAACAATTAACATCATCGTAACACCACGCACCGACTCTCACATTCGTCAGGGAAAGAAAAAAAAAAGCAACGAGCTCACACAAAGAACGAGACATTTAACAGAGTGGTACAACATGGTGTTTCACAAAAGTGTGGGGGGGAAAAAACCGAAAAAAAAAAAACCCACGGAGTTTTCGACACCACCCAACCATACTGTTTCAGTAAACCCTCGAAAATCATTGACCTCGAAAAGACAGGAACGTACGCGTTTACACACACGCACACATACACATGCCCACGTGCGCTGCATATATGCCTCTATGTTTATACACATTTACATGAATAGTTTTGTTTGTAATTGCAGTTAGCATATGCAGCTATACAGCGGCTGTCAGCGTTTCTTTTTTTTTTTAAATCGTGCCAGAGAAGACTCCAAAATGACAAGCGGAGAGATAGAGAAGCGAGATACACACAAAACACATTCACGCCATTCAAGCTAATCCATAGATTCGAGCAATGCTGCGTGGGGAAGGAGTGGACTGGAATCGTTTCAAGGGAACGCACGTTTACCCTAAACACGCGTAGTTCTTAAGCTCCTAGTTGGGTGAAAATTGCGCTTAGCGATTGCGCAAATCAACCACGGCTGACACAAACACAATTTGCTGGTTTACTGAAATAAAAAAAAAAGGGGGGGGGGGGGGAGTATTAAAAGGCTACCCTCACAACTGGATGCGCGGCGGTTCAGTTTCTCGAGTACGCACACTTACACCACGTGACCTGCGAGTTATACAGCCGCCGAGAAAGTCACTCGTCTAAATATGTTACACCCGCTAATGTGCAATTCTATTCCACGACCAACAGTCGCGTGCATGTGGTATTCGTTCAGACACTTTTATAACTCAACACTGCTCACAAATACCTCGCACGCGGCCTCTGATGTCCGTTAACGTCATAAGAGACATTTACAGCCAAATCGACGTAACACCCTTTTTATAAGAGCCGCAGTACGGCTGGGAACTGTTGGGCTCGCTTCGCCGAGCTAGGTGATACCAGCGAGATGGCTGTACAAGTTTACGCAGAACTTGGCGCGTAAAAGCCTGACCACACCCATCCGTTGCAGCACGTGACTTTTTGCAACACCACCTAGAGAAAATTCTTTCCGAGCCCTCTCCTATATGGAGAGGGGGCACGCAGCTTTGCGTAGCAACGTGCACTCTCTCTCCGTAGGGAGAGGGCAGGGCACCGCGTCAAAAAGCCACGCGCTGCCAGGGATACGTGTGGTCAGGCTTTTTTGCGAGCAGCAGTTGAACTAGTAGCCCCCCCCCCCCCCCCACCCCTACCCCCCCCCAAAAAAAAAACGATACGAAAAGAAAAACAAGTGGCTCACAAATGTGCGGCTGCACATGTCAACAAATAGCTGCTTCGGCAACGTCTTGCCACGGGCAATGGGATCTTAAGGGTGTCAATACTCGATGGCAAGTCGACCGTTCTACAAGCTTTACACTATCGTGTGCTCAAGCCAAGCGTCGTGCTTCGGGCTCATTTCTTAAAACAAGAGCTCCTACAATAGTACTCGCCCGTTTACACTCTTCCACACCCACTGAAACAAGCGAAATAAATTAAAAAAAAAACGGAATCGACACTTCGCAAAAACATGCACATGCGTGAGCAAATATTTTCCAACTGAGCAGCCTCATTCACAGATTAGCATAATTACTTTTCCTATTCAACACCCACTTGCCTTTCATTTGTTCTCTCTGCGCGCTACGAATCTCAGTACGAGTAGCGACATCTATTGAAAGGCCGTAGAGGTGCTCTGGGACCTACCCTTGAATGTTGAGGAATAAACACACTTTGAGTGTGAAGAGCATTATTTGAACGAGAGTTTTCGGTTGGAAAATACTCTTGCGGGAAAGCCAACTTACAGATTTTTTTTTTGCAATGTGTCAATTGCCAAAGCATGGAATGCCAGTTAAAAGACACGTGCGCGCAACTGAGTGCACCAGTACAGCCACCCAACACATGACAGGATAGTCACCACCTAGGATTTCGATTTAGAGCTAGACAATAACGTTACCAATTCTTCGCTCTCATCCGCATTGCCCGCAATACCTACCCAAGCAACGTATTTCGCAAAGCATCAAAAGGCACAATGCATCCAGCAGATTTGGAATCGCCGACTTCACTAAAACGGGGCATCAGGTTGTATACTGCTGCACTCAACTGCGAATAACTTGACGTGCACGTGTTAAGCCTCGTCAGTTCTTTTGCAGGTGGGAAGAGAAAACGCCATTTCACTGAAGCTGCGTTCAAACCAAGCAATGAGTTGCATGCACCAAAGGGCACAACTACATTGAACCCAGGCAAGCATACGTAACACTACCTCACAACTTAGTTTTTTGCAATCAGGTTCAATGGTACGCTGCATTGCAGAACCCCTTGCCCATACGACCCATGCGATCGAGCAGTCCACCATTACTGTCGAAGTCCCATGTTTCACTGAAATGGTGTGAACGCTGTTGCTTTTGTCCTAGCGACACTGGTAACTACATTATTTATGTACATGCAACACAGAGGAAGGAGAGAAGTCACAATGTTACAGCGCTGGCAGTCTTCTGAATAAATACAACTTGCTGAAGAATAAACATGCTAAATCATCCAGTGGCTCTTTCACACACGCACACACCTACATGTACACACAATTCTTCATAAGCAGAGAAAGAGAGAAAGACTCAATTTCGGTTCCCTGCATGAACAATAATACACACCAAATTCACAGTAAGCCCCGAAAAAAACAGCAGTAGTACGAGAGCTCAATTTGAATATCGCGCATTTACAACAATGGTACCTATATAGATAGCATTAACAAAGAGCAGCACTGCAGCCATCCCTTTTTAATTACAAGCCAAGCAGTGCAAGCGGGTGAAAAAAAAAAAAACATGCTGAAAGCCAGTAAGTCACACAAGGAGCCCTCCACGATTCCCTTAAACTGCTGAGAGCAAACTGACAAGTTAAGAAACATCAGCTGCACATTTCTCCCACAAAAGGCGAAGTTGGGCATGAAAAAAAAAAGTGCACTGAAGCCTCGATACCCAAGGCGAGAGGAAAGATGTTCACTTGGTCTTTGTCGACGAGGTTGAGGTGGATGCATAAACTGCAACAGAAACAAGAACATCGAAGAAAAAGAGAAGGGACAACACAAGGAACTAGCAACTAGGACGCAAGCCCCAGCAAGTGCCCCTCTTCGCTTAACAACAGACATCCCCCTTGCGAGGCAAAGCTAAGTAAACGCGAGCGACCACACAAGTTCTCAAGAGGTCACACGGTCTGGGCCTCGTGAAGGCCCGTGTCTGTAGATATGTTCTTGCCACACCAGCGATAAAACAAAAGGCCACGCTCTGTACGTTGCAGTAACATATTAGCCATGTTGCTTTAGCTAACGTGGCTTCAATAAACTGCGAGGGGCACCTGGACTCAGTTCTTTGCCCTAAAAAAGAGAAGCGGGCATTCGTAGAATCTTTCAAATCGATACCAGTCATCCGCAGCGTCGTGCTTTGGTTGAGCAGTCTGGCGACTCCTGTTACTGGCGGCACACTTCTGATCTGTATGCATACAGAAACATTCAGCCACCATGTTGACGAATTTCTCAATCAAAAAAAGCTTTCATGCTTCTTGAGGCAATGCAAAGGGTGAAACGCATCGCCTGCCGCTTCAAATCTGCTAGCAAAAACGGTAGAACTACGAGCCTTAGCAAAGTCCAGGTGCCAATCGCAGAACATTTATTCTGAATGCCCATCAAATGTCTTACTATAAACAACAATGGCTTGTGAAAGGTTATTGACTAAATAGAATGCTCGACTGACTGCTTTATACAGCCCAATATAGCAGGCGTCGTTTTTTGAATTTGTGGCCACTCCATATTGAACAAACAGTACCAACTACTGCACATTCACAGATGTAGAAGGCAACGACAATAATTTGTTCAGGAGCCAAACTTCAGTAGGGGTACTCCAGTCGGTTTTTCCAAGACGTTACCCCCAAAAATATTTGCACAAGGATGGCCGAGCTCCTTTAAGTACACATGAGCATTGCATCTTTCACCAGCTTTCAACCTAAAGTAGCAGTAAAGAGTGCTATACAGCTAGCATCTAAAATCTATACCAGCTGGGGAAAAAAAACATCCGACATCGCAACAGAAGTACAAGAAAAAGAACAATAGCAAACGATGCAATACACAGCGATGGATGCCACAGTTCGTCGTGCCAGGGGAGAATAGTTTCGTCCCCGAGCAATGCGACGATTCTGCGATGCTAAGGGATCGGGACGATGGCCCCACTTGCCAAGAGTTGCAGTCTCGTGAGGTGGAGAGCGGCACAAAATAATGGGGCGAAACATTTTGTCAATCTGTCATTTTTTGTGCGATGTGCCTCTTCCTTCTTCCTCGAGTTGGCTTCATTTTTCTCTTGCGCCTGCTTTCCCCTTTTTAGCCCGTCGAAGCCCAAACTAAGTTTTTTGGGGGGGGAAATAGGGAAGGGGGAGTGGGAAAGAAAATAAAAGTAAGGGAAAAAGGAGGAAAGAAAACAGTACCATTGTACCATAAATGATGAAACCAAAGCAAAGTAACCCAACTACAACTTAAAAGGCATGCAATCAAGCCCACAAACCTCCCAATTTTTCACAAAATTGCATGCAACTGTCAATTTGCCAACACCACCAAGAATTAGGTGCACAAGTAGACAAACCTACGGCTCTCGCTTGCTACAACTAATCCAGCGAGTTCTGATATGTTTGGAATACCACAGCCAATTCTTGGCTATACAAGAGCCATAAATGCCAGGAAAGCTGGTTTTAAAGCTGGTACAATAATAGTTTGAAATGCATTAAGAGAGAATGAAAGGCATGCATGCAGTAATGCTATAGAACAATTATAGACATTCGCATTCATCTGTACAGCTAAGCAAGCAATTTTAGTTCCTTCCACATTCCTGCCAACATTCCTTTCAAATTAGGTCTCGCATTACTAGTTTAACCTGTTGCAACAATCCATTTTGATTTTTCAGCTCAGTGGCTCTGCAATTGGTAACTACAACTGACTTTCTATGTCAATGAACGGGAAGATTGAGGGACATCTATTATCAAAGCAAAGTATGTAGAAGATGCTTGACCTCGTTTTCCTATTTTGACTTATTTATTCAGAAAGTGAATGAGAGTTAATATTCTGTTTTGCATCAACACTGAGTGGTGTAGTTTTTTACTCATTCGATAAATGCCATGCCACATAAAATACTGTCCCAGTCAAAAAAACGTGACTCTTGGACTATTCTGGAGGGAAGGGCAAAGTGGGGGCGAATGGTCATTTGTGAACTATGCCTCTGCAGCACCGTCTCAAACTTCAAGAAAGCTGTGCATAAGTGTCACCTTGGCTAACAAAATGACCAGCACTACGAAAGAAAAACAGCTGTCAAAATGTTATGAGAAAAATCGAAAAAGCTGGAGCTAGGGAGGACTTGCCACATGCAACCAGAAAATAAGAAGCTACAGGCAAAGAAGTGAGGTAACGTGGCCTAAAGAGGCTGAGGCACTACAGTGCATTTTAGAAAACAAGAAAATTTGACACTGGTGCTTAGATGAGAGTCAAGGCTTCAAGCATGACACACTTCGCAGATGTCTTCATGAAGTGTTGTCTTATCCTGCAATAACACTATCAGCAGAGTCTTAATTGCCAGGCCAACGAGGACTCAAGGTTACAGGCATATAAGTATGCATGGAAACATGCGCACAATGGTTAATAATAGCCAGAAGCAGGCTGTCAGACAACAGCACATATCTTCCTCAAGCCCCATTCCAGCACTCAACAGTAAAAAGCTTTCAGAGCTGCTCAGGAACAGACTATCAAAATAAACCACTAAGCCCTCTGAGGAGTTTTTGCTTCACCAAAGCCCCATAGGCAGCGAAAGACAATGCTACCCACTCTTAAAATGTTCCAGATGTATTAAACAAACATCCGTAATAAACTATCCCTCCAGGAGCGGCTTTGAGAACTTCTTACAAGACTGTAGGCCCACCATGTGGGAAAGCTCACAATTTACACTTGCAATACTCTGAAGAGCAGCTTGTAAGCAGTTAACAGCTTGCTAGAGCTCGGCAACACCAAAATGTTTAGCAAATCACCAACTCATAGGCTCTAGAGCTTTACAGCAGAACTAAGAAAGTAAATAGCTGGTCATTCCAATATGCACGCACGACAGCAGTGCAAAAGATTAAGCAGAGGACACATACAAAGAGGACAAGTATTTGTCCTGCTGGTATGCCTCTGTTTACTTCATTCCACGCTGCTACTAAGCATGAATGCATTATGCCATTTTGCATGAATGATCCAGCAAGGCAGCTCAAGCCCACCGATAATTTCAGAGGATACCAAGTCGTGGCATCACACCATGTGCACTTGTGAGTCGGTACTCAGCCAGTAGCGACATCTATACCGTATTTTGCAAAAGAAGCTACAGAAAGCAATTTTTTATCCTACATTACACAGAGACTGCTCCCCGTTGTTAATGGAATTCGCATGAGCAAACACTGCCGACACTGGACAGAAGCAGCACACCAGACACTTAATATTATACATCGCCCGACAACAGCAACACCAGCAAAGGAAAAAAGAAAATGAAGCCACAGGCATAATTACAACCAGGCCAAACATACACAAAACACTTGCACACCAAGCTGTAAGCACGCGCAACATATACACAAACATACATGTTAACACAGACTGCACACAGCTGAACATCTGCAGTTAAATGTTGTGTCACTGCATTCCATTGTCAGAGATTCATTTGCCGACAACCTCGCCCCACCCCCCATCGCAAATAATAAAAAAAGTTGCTCGCATCGAAGTGTGATCAGTGTGTAACAAAGTGTTAAAGAGCTACAACTGTCCTGTTCTCTTTCATAATGCTATAGGCCACTCTAACGTAATGCAATAAGGAAACAAAAAAAATTATGTACCATGAATGGTCACAAATAAGCACTCTGGTCTACCTCAAGCACAACCTACATCCCCCCCCCTATACTTCTCTTTGCGAGACAAATGTATAGGCTAATTTCACTTAAGGTGAACATCTCCAAAAAAATACAGTGCCCCCTCCCTCTCTTATGCAAGATAAAAAATAAAAATACCAAAAAATACAGTGCCCCCTCTCTTATGCAAGATAAGAAATAAAAATACTAGCAAATTAAGTTTATTTTGTGAGAAATAAAAAATTATGTTTTTTCTTCCTCTTCACTGGTCAAATAGAAATTGACTGTATAAGAAACACTAATTTGCAAGCTTCCCCATCCGCACCATCATTTAAAGCACATACTAATGCACTTGTGAGAAGTGCAAACACACACTGCATTCGATACTGCGTAAGGAACAAAATGCCACAAGGTGGTCAATAATAATATTTCCATCAGCCGTAAGTAGCTCAATAGCTGAAAACGAATACACATATCGACATGCGAAAAGCTACTGTGGTCGTCACAGAAGATAAAATGCCAGCATTTGTTTTGTTAAGTCCACGATGTGGCGAGAGGCCGAAATCCAATTACAGTGTGTGAAAAAAAAATACCGCAATAACAAACAAATCTACTTAACATCAAAGCCTTGAACAATAGACGAGAGAAAAAAATATGCTGTCAGTTAGCCGCTGTGCAGCCGTTGCAGCGGGCCAAGACTGAGGGCTTTCGTAAGAAATTGGGTGCACATAAAGTAACGACGCGATACATAACCACAATGTGATGACCACGGTTTACAGCATTTTTTCTTTAGATCCGAGTAGTCCTTGTGATGAACACAGTGCGTAGTACCATTGTAAAAGACAGGGTAGGCAGCTTCCGAGAAGTGTCAACAAATTCAAAACTCAGGAAAGTGGTCCAAAGTATCCAAGCGAGAAAGAAAAACACAAGAACACGAAATTGAATGTTCCTCAAGAGGTGGTGCAGTAGCAGACCACGAAGAGAAGAAGAACCAGCCGGCAAAAAAAGAGGGCGTACGGCATTCTTGGAGTTCTCGGGTGCTTCCCCCCGGGGCCGAAAACCACCTTTATGTCATGAACCATGCTGTGCGCGCACGGCCACAACACGACAGAAGGTAGGAACGTGTGCGTGAGAGAGAGAGAGAGATGGATATGGTAGTGAAGGTGAGAGTGAGATGGCCAAGGGGAGAGGGAAAGAGAAAGGCACAAGGACAGTAATGTGAAACTGAAGGCAAGAGGTCAAGTTCACACACAAGAACAACTGCTACGAGTGAGAAAGACGGCCAGAATGGCTGCAAGCATTAGTTAAAAAAACACACGTTCCACTGTTAACCTAACATTACCGTACTGCCATTGCACTTCAATTACTATGTTGTCATTGTCCCACAATTACCATATTGTTTTATCATTACCATCCTATTGCAGCCGCTACTACTACTGTCTTATCATCGTCCAGCCATTGAAGTCCTACGACTGTCCAGCCATGGTTACAATTACCATCCCACCACTGCCAATACTGCAGCAATCACTGCTCACGCATGAAGTTTTAGCTGGGTGGCATGCCTTGATGTGCCCAAACTAAACCACAATTTACAGTGGTGCCTCTTCTTTAGGCTCACTACGGTAGCACCGCCGATTTAAATAATGACTAAACATTGATAATACCTTGTCTTCCGTGCGAAATCACACCTTATTGAAGGGGCCTTGCCAATTGGTTGTCGAGGCTGCCGAGAACATGTGGGCCTAACATTATGGCGCAGCACATGTCCTACAACAATTTACTATTCTGTCAGCCAGAAACGGTTCGCGCATTCCCTCAGCAAATGATCGTTCTGTAAAACCAAATCCAACGGCCATTCGCTGATTTGAGCATCGCGAGCCACAGAGTTACTAAGGCCGCCATGGGATGCCGCTACGTGCCCACATGCTCGCTCATGACCTGCACTGACAGTAGTAAGCTGCTTAGTTCGAAGAAAACAAATTGCCACCTGTGCGGAACAAGCAGCACAGTCAAAACAAAAGCTGTAAGAGCAAGCCTTTCCTGAGCCTGTTGTAGATTCTCTTGGGGCAACTAATACAAGTACACAAGCAAGTTCCCCACTATGCCGTAAATCGTAACTTTCAAGAAGTAGGGAAGCGCACACTATGCTGGTCATGATGCGTGATGATTATATGGTATAGCTTCTTGCCGCCTCGTCCTACCAGCCCCAGCATAGCTAACAGCAGGCTCGCTGATACAAAAGGAAAAAGGTCGCTAAAGGGACACTAAAGAGCACAACTATTTTTTTGCATAGTAATGAAGTACAATTTTACAATCCCGAAAATGCCACTCTTACCACGACACGACGCTCGGTGAGTGAGAAAACATGTGAAAAGAGAATGCAGGTGAGGACGCTACCTCGAGCTTCCTGCACAAAGACCACAACAGATTTCGAAGGCGTCTACCGGGTCCTGTGTGGCTTCTAGTAGATAAAGATTAAGTACACCATCTGCGGGAGCCATAGACCTAGCAAACGAAGTTTCAGAAAATTTCAGAGAGTCAACGTTGTGAAAAAAAAAAAAAAAAAAGCCTTTTGAAGTTTCTGATGTCATGTGCAGAGTTTTCAGCAGGAAATTTAAAATGAATCTTAACCTCGCTTTTCTCTGCTAACAATGAACTGATGATAGTGAAACATGTAGCATTAGAGTTATCAGAGTGCAGTGTGTTGATTTGAATAAAGTCATTGTTTCTCTTTAGTGTCCCTTGAAGCATGTGATAAATTTCTGTCCGCCACCCCACTTGTACTTGACGGATTCTAAAAATTATTGCAGCAGTCAAATAGTGAAGAACTCTTTTAATCAGGCCATTCAATGGTTACTTGGAAAAGTGTTGCAGGGCCCCTTCAACACCAATTTTGGGATAGCTGTCAAGACGCATGCCTAGTAACAAGGAGCGAATGAAGTGGCAGCCTGGGCATTGCTGTCCGAAATCTTGCTGGATGGCAGTTGTCAATGAGCGGGGTGCATGCGGAGCTATGGCAGCCAGTAATAGTAGGAGAGCAGCAATAGTTAGTTTCTCACGTATAACCGTACAAAATGCACAGAAAATACTGAGATAAGAGATACGAGCTATACCCAAATTTTAAGAAATCAAGGTGAGAAAATATGGTATTTTGAAACAGTTAACAATTAGGACTTCCTGAACTTTGCCAAGAATTACTGAAAAAAAAAAAAACATCTAAAGTAGCTGCCGGTGCATTCAAAGGCCTGCCTTGCCATGTCCAATCTCACTTTTTTTCTCCAAATTTCAGCAGTGTCAGGAACTCGAACCCCATAAGAGACCTATGACAGTGTTCTACTTTGCATATTGCTTATACCCGTTTTGCAATGCTGTTTGCATCCAACCCATGACCCATATAACTCATAGCTGCACCTTGCAGCAATACTTGGCCATCACATTATAAAACGCCTTGGTAGCTACTTAACAGCCTTTTCAAATCAGCAATACTACGTCGGCACACTTCCTAAACTCAACAAAAAGACCAAATATTTTGACGACACTGGCTTTGTTTCCTCTAATTTGCCGTCTTCCCACTCCGGTTTCATTTTACAAGCAATATTCATCCGATTTAAAATTTACGTGACCTGCCATATTTCACCCCTTAAAGATAGAAATAAGAGGATTATTTTAACCAAGATTTTAAACAGTACTAAAACAAAACAACTTTGTGAAGTGATTTTAGCTACTTAATGATATAGAAACTCATTTCCTTGAAGCATTGCAAACTCAATTTTTATCTGCCAATTCATGATGCATACTAACTGCAGCGCAGTCCAAACACTTCACAGTAAGCCTACACGTAATTTCTTGTGAAATGTGTTTGCATCGAGTTTTTTGTCCCTGGGTGGACAATGTTTTTTTTTTTCTTCTTTTAACATTTAGGAAGACCCAGGTTGTTCCCTAGTGCTGGATTATAGTTCTTTGTCACCCTGCTTCGTCGAACTCTTTAACACAGGGGTTTAAATAAGAAGACCATTATTTACTGGCAAATCCCATAGGCTGTGTGTACTTTATCAAGAGAGCAGGCCTTAGAATGAACAATCATACTAAGAGTACTACAGTTAACATACTTGACAAACACTGGGAAATTATTTAAGAGTTCAATAATTTATGCTTGAACAGAGCTATCTACTGAGTAGCAGATCCTTTACTAGTATTCTAGTGCTCCAAGATTTTGTAGGTGCACGAGTGGGCTTTTGTTTGATGGAATAGTGAAACAACACCGGCCTGGATATCGGCACCAAGTATTCACTCGCAGTGGATGAGCGTGCATACAGTGCTCAACGAGTGAATGCAATACTGAGGAATGTCAGCCGATGCATTCTGGTAAGCGACGGAAGCGAAGGGCTTTTCCGATACTTTTCAACTGAATTTATCTTTCAGCATTCACAGATCACGCAAAAAGTACTGGCTGCCACACGAGCCGATCCCGCTGAGTCGGTGAGCACTGTACAGATATTCAACCACACTGAAAGAGTGGAGAAAGAAAAATGGCGTGCATCACGGAACGGAAGGGGCAAAAGTACACTAGCGGGTGCCAACTACTGTGAAGTCAAAATTACAGAAAAAATGGGAAATCTGCATTCAGTGTCTACCATGCTCAGCTACTGAACCTTCGCCAGAATGCAGCGAGCGCACTGCTCCGGTAAAGAGTTCCACGAGGCATAATATCCGCACTACGGGTGTGAAATGCATTCTTGCAGGAAAATACAGTACGGTTGGTTAAACTAACACAGCTATACATTTTTTTTTCTCAAATTATTTTGAAGAAGTTTACGGTGAGCTAAAGGAAACATTTGCAAAGGACAAAAGCAAGTCTTCAAGTCGGGCCCGATTCAAGAGATCCTAGACGTTTCAGCAAGACAGCAAAATCCCTTATCGAGGACCGACTCCAACAACATACATTCTTCAATGACTTCTCAAAACGATGCGGACTACACGCATGTCACATATTTGTTTCACTTTGAGTAATGTATAACTGCAATTCAGATAGCCTAGGCTGCTTCGATGTGGACCTAAAGGCTAAGTCTTGGTATAAAGGAGATTTCGCTGTTGGTCTCCACCTGAATGTGGTTGCTACAGCCAATTAAACCTGTGTGCACATGCTTGGCAACTATGCTCATGCATTCAGCATGCTCAGCGCCGCGCCATCATAGCAGATTACGACTATGAAATGACTTCTGTATTTAAAGCATAGCTTCACTTTTTTTATATATTCGTCCAATATACCAATGACTGAGGACTACGAGCACCAGAATCTCATCTATGCAGTGGGGTCTTAACCCTAGGTTTTGATCGAAATGGTACATATGCATGACGTCTTACTAGTGAGGTAAGGTATGCTTAGTTATTTTTGCCAGCGCTTTCAAAGGATTACAAATACTTCTGCCATTAGTATGCACCTCTGCAGTAATTTTCTACATGAAAATTACTATCAAAAATACTTGCAGCTTTTTAGCTACCATTTTATTTTATTTATCAACCCGTATGTTTCTGACAGGAGGTCCCCTTTCAGCTTTGTGCTATGGGGCCTTCTGTATATACTAATCCCTATGCGTTTTATCTATTTTGCAACAAATAAACACTTTGAGAGAAATCATGCTTCGCAACATTGGAACAAATGCAAAACTCTGGCATCAGCAACACTTTGTTTTAATTAACAGAAATAGTCTCTAATTTTAATCCCCACTTTTAAAGCAACACTGTTATGTTGCCTACATGTCCGTCGAGTTAAAGGGACGAGTAGAACCATCAGATTTTGGAAGATACACAAGATTTTGGAAGATACACAAGAACGTAGCGAAACATTACCGGTGAACAAAAAATGAACTACAGGCACATCCTTCGACAACAGAAGATTTGTGCACCCAACGAAATAGTAGGTGGCATTGTTTAGTGCAAGGTGCGTAATTTACATTGTCCACACATCTAAATGTGAACAAGCTTATAGCATGGCGAACCAAATGGGCAGCCCCTGGAAAGAGTCTGCACTGAATATGTTGCAGTCAACAAAATGCCACATTTGTTGCATATATGGTGTTACAAATTGTGTAGAGGACGAGGGGCGACATTATCATCATCGGGGATTAGAGCAGTGGATTCGGACTAAAGAAGAGGTCGCCGGGGGGCTTCAACATGGGGACCGCGGCTTGTCCTTTCCTCAACATATGGCATTATCACCAGCAAAATGCAGATCAAGCCATTCGGCAGTCAGATGCAACAGCATGCATTTGGCACAGCACATTACGGGACAAACAAAAGCATGCAAAAAAGGTAAACAGAGACATCTGCCCATCCGACAGGCAGTTTCCCCGCCAGAAGCATTTGACCTGCCAGCCAAAAATGCTGCGCATGTAAAGACTGCAATGGCACAAGAGTATTATTGCCACATTTCGGTCATAAAGAAACATGAGCCTGAAATTCATTTCTGAGCCACAAGTTAAACATCGACTAAAATTTCGGTATAGACTAGTTTCAACAATGAGTCCAACAGGATGACTAGTAAAAGCCACTGCACGCGTGGCAGCCTCTGCCATACAATGTAATACAAGGCACAGAAACAGTCGAATATCTTAACATGTGACCTGTGCCATGATGAATAAGACACGTGCATTTCAGAGCCTTTCATAGATTTATACCTAAACTGCACATTAAAAAAAAGAGGGGGGGGAAGAAGGGCAATGAAAGAACCTTCAGTTTCAGCTGTGGACTGCTGATAGAATTTAGTCTTGAGGGGTGTATGCCTGCCTGTATGCATGTGACATGTGTTGCATTGTGGAGGTGAGGGACTGAGAGCTGGCATGACTTGGGGGGAGGGCTGGAGAACGTGCTCTTTCACACATGCCTGCCAATGGCCATGCTATCAGTGCCAGTTTACTTCGCCCGGCCTTTAGCCTGGAACAAGAGTTGCAGCTCACACCCGATTTTTAAAATAAAAATTCAACAACACCTACAAGTGCCTTCATACTGTGTGTCAATGATCCTCCGTTCTAAGTCCCGAGAAAAAACGTACACAAAACAACACAGGGCAAAATAGCAAAACAGTAAGATGAAAAATAACGATGGCAGTGCCTGCCTGTACGCAAGTGACCAACCATTTCTGCCCTAGAAACAAAGCACAAGAAACTAAACAAAAAACAAGACGTACAAAGAAAATTCTTGGCTATAACTGAACGAGAAAAACAAAAGAAACACAGGCTTACCAATAATGATAATGATTATGATTGCAATGACCCCGATTAAGATGGCCCACATCTGTAAGCAAAGAAAACAAGAACAAGAAACATAAGACCTAGCTTCACGCAGTGCAAGGGTATCGAAGTCTACTGAGCATCCAGGACCATGTAAATCAAGTCGTACGAAATGACAAACTCCCCCGTAGACTCAAGTTACAAGGGTATGTTCACTGCAGTTACAGCCTGTCACTATGTGAAGCCAGAATGACAGCCTAACCACATTTACATATGCAGTTCTAACCGACAACGGCAAAAAGCGTCGAAGCTTTGTTGGGGGTGAGAATTCGTAGGCTGAAGAAAAACTGAGCAAAGCTCTGGTACTGAACTCATGCTACTGTTGCTTTTGCGTCATTGCGACCGTTTTAAAATAAGTGCATTTTTTTTGGTCCTAATGAAGAATAGCAGCTCCCACTAAGTAGGAACTAGCCGATTCCAACAATTCTTGCTCAATTTCTGGCTGGCAGGACATGGAGAAAACTCTCGGACAGGGGCATGCACAGGGTGAAAGAAAGAGAATGGCTGACAGAGGCCCATGCCAATTGGTACAGTGCAAGACTGCACACGACACCATACTCACCAATTATATCACTACGACAACTACACCAATCCCCACCATTATGGCAATCATCTGCAGATGTGAGCATTATCCAAAGAAAAGCAAGGTTGCATGAGAAGGAGAGAGAGAGAGAGAAGAAATGAAGGGAGAGAAGGGCACGGCATTCAGACAGTTGTAACAGTGTGACACGGCTGTTCAGTAACCTTGACCTTAATGAACTGTCAAAAAAGCACATTAGCAAAAAGCTCGCTTAGATGTCTACATTGAACTACCGTAGAACACCATTTATAAGTTCCTCATCTTTAAATATTGCAGCGTACAACTTTCTTGGAGACCCGTCCAAGCATAGAATCTACAGGCATGTGTCCCATAAAAGGCTCTTCACCCTCCTGAAACATTCCTGCATTGTTTCTGCCTGATACGTGGTGAACTGTCATTACAATGGATGAGCTAAGGAGGTACGTCAATTAGTCTGGTGATGTAGGCTGCCACAATGGCGTCCAGGTGCTCAAAAAAGGGTCTGGTTCTTTCAGATGCATGAAAAATCTCGCATTTTCCCACAATGCACTGCTTTGAATCGAACACGAACTGATGAATAAATTCTTCTCAACTATAGGTGTCTGAAATGTGTTACTTAGCAGCAATTCTACAATTTGAACAGCATATTCACACAATGCTTTCTGGCTGCTGCGCTATATTTTACTCAAGGTCCATGAACAATGTTATCAGAGCAGTTATACTGTACAAACAGAACATTGTTAGGGAACCTCTAAGTTGATTCAAATAAAGCTTGTGTCCTCTGTTTTGCTGTAAGACACATGAAAGCAAGTACCGTGTCACTGCTGATTTTAAGCACCAATACTATGGCCCACAAGATCGACACCACGTGCTAATTATTAATTTAGATAACTTTCCCTACCATCACGAAGCATCCGGAAGCTAGCAACTCAGATTCAATGCAAACTCAGTGCAACTGTTCTCGCGTATATCCACACAAGAAGAAACAAATGCATGGTCAGCTCACCTTGCAGTTTTTCCACCAGAACTTCCTCTTCAGCTTTCCAGCTTGCTGCTCAAACTGTGAAGCACCTTGTTGCAAGGCATCTGTTTGTGGGAGTGACGAGTGGACCGCACACACGCACACAAACATTATGCCAATTAGCAACATTCAAATGATCTGCTATTGCAAGTGCACGCGATGATAGAAACTGCAAGCACAAGAAGACAAACATTTTCGAACCGGAATTTCACTACACTAGCTGCTTCTCTCACGTTTTAGAGGCTGTACAATGCTTTACAAGTAGCAGGACTGGCTTACTGTTCAAAAGAAAGCCAGTTCATTCAAAAAGAATAAGCACCAGCACTTACACACCCTACTTAAAAAAGTTGAGAGAATGTCTGAATGCAAGGGCTCCAAGATTTAGGCAGTACCTGTGGCTAAGCCTTGACTACGTGCTCTCTCTCTATTAAAGAGGCCCAGCAACACTTTCCAAGCATGGTCAGAAAACTCTGTCGATCTGCAGTCGAGGCTCGCGAGAACACGTAAGCCAAATGTCTTTTCACGAGCCAAATATATAGCGGAGCTCGCAGTCTGTAATTTGCGATAAATTCTCAAGTTCATCTAAAATCGCTTTCTCTTCTTTCGTGAAATTACATAGGATACCCAAAATCATAGGAGACATTGCATCAGCAACTGGCTGATTTGAGCATGGGGCACTTGTTAGTTACAGGGATCGCTGTGAGAGGTCATGCCTTGTCACGTGCATGCCCAATCACACCAAAAACTCGCGTATTAAAATAAAAAAGAAAAAAGTGCTCAAGGTCACGAGGCACGTGTGACACTTTTCTTTCTCCGTGCCATCCTTCCCTGCATAACTTTCAGCGCTTTCGTCGGGAAGAGGAAAAAGAGAATGCAATGGTAGCATGATACAAGTCTTGGTAACTCTGCTCGTTCTGGACGAATTCCAAAAAATTTTGCTGGTGGTGAACTCGCGAGGCAATAATACTTTTTTTTTACAGAATCCATTACATGGCCGCTTGAAAAGTACTGCAGGGCCCCTTTATTGAGCACTAAAAAAATGGTACAAAAGTAGTATAGCACTCTGTCGTTAACAGAATGGAGCTACCACATCTAGAAGTTGAACTCGCAATGTTTGCTCTGGGTAGTCTGAGGTTACTGCCAAGAAGTCCTGTACAACCTTAAGTAAATGTCCCTTCACAAGGTTGTAAGTTGAGCCTCTGCCAGCAGCAAGTCGTCCTTTTTGTCCACTTTAACTTCAAGAGAACAAAGCTGCCCAGCTTTAATTTTTACTGCTTTAACAATTATTTACAATACTTAAAGCTGTTCAGATCTATGAATTTTTTTTCTGATACAATTAAAGGGCAATGTGAGCGCAAAGACAGTCGATTGAGTCGTCGGATTGAGATAGAGAGCTTTCAAAAGAAATAGGTGGCATTACCTAGTTTGATTTGCATTGAATCGGGTGCAGAGTAAGAATGAAGCATCGCATGAAGCACAACAAACATTTTCGAAGCCATTTAAGGCAACAAGGTGATCACATATGCTTTAAGATGGATCCACAAAAAGACTTTCGTCCTGTTGGCCAAATGTCATCAGGACCCACGTAAACATTTTCGAAGTCATGGCAACAAGGTGATCACATATGCTTTAAGATGGATCCACAAAAAGACTTCCGTTCTGTTGGCCAAATGTCATCAGGACCCACGTAACTAATGTAAATGGTGACATGGAGAAGCTTTGTGGCAAGTAAACAAAATATCTTCCCTCTCTACACTTTCCCCTTACCGCAAAGAATTTAGAGAAGCCGACAGTGGCACGGCCCTTTTTGAGTAGAAATATTGTGTCAGTGTTGGTTTTCAAATCCTTTTGAATGAAAATGACTAGGATATGCGTCACGTGGACCCACCTTAAGCAATGTAACACAGCTTTGGCCAATTACACCCTAAGAATAAATACGCACTTTGCCCCCAGTACTGCAGCGTGTGTCATTCACCTGTACAACAAATCAATAATTGGCTATTTCCATTCTAAACATAAGCATATTTTCCCTGATAATGCAAAGAATACAGCTATCCTAAATGGAAAGTTCGCCGTTTCTTGATAAAATGTTCCATTTGGCAAAGCAGTGAAGTCGAAATTTTCGATGAAGTTTCCCCAAGTAAAATTTTCTAGCCGAAAACCATCGAAATAAACACGAGCCTGCAAAGCCAAGTGATACGTCTGAAATTCGTTAAAGGTCCCGACACCACCTAAATAAGTGATTGCAATTAACAAAACAGTTATGATAATTCTGCCTGGGAGAAACCTTGGTAAGACAGTGACCGCTGTGGGCGGAGCTTACATTTATTTTTAGGCTGTAACCGACCGTAATTAACAGTGGGCCAGAAAAAAAGCAGTACAGATAAAGAAACACACATACACACAAGCAACATATAAAAGGACAACATGTTACAGACACGAGTGGAATAGAGGCAAGCATTCGGGACATGTTAAGGACATCCTGCTAAGTAGGCGCAAAGAATGAAATGTTAATTCTACAGAATTTTTTTTAAGAACAATGTTGCTTGCTACACTAGTTTAAGGTGGCTGGTCTCACCATGTTTGTGTAGCTGTTAACCAACCATGAGTAAATGTCAGAGCTAGCATAGACTGGGCTTGTTAACTACATAGTTAGGTAGACCAAATGGAACCTTAAAAGTTAGTTGAAGACCCAGATGCTACTGGATATTTCAAGGAGGTCCTCTTGCTACGGACAAGGCACTTGCTCAAACTGGCTGCCACCACAACCAGAAGCACGTTTGCACCAACTAAAGCTTGTGTTAACGCAAAAAAACATTTCTCGATACTGTGAGAAAAACTAAGGGGCCAAGAATGCTGGATAACTCCCCACTGAATGTTTCTAATAAATGGAAGATATGCATTATGTTCTGCAGAAGAAGTGTTCCGAGTTCACTTTCTAGGCAGCATGGAGATTTTAAGCATGTTGCGAGCCTGTTGTAGAGTGACCACCGCACATTCCCAGCTATTAATCCATTTTCAACCCATGCTCGCTGCTTTTTTTAACATCATACCATCAGCTCAATTGCCGTCTAATGAAACTAAAACCTGTAATTCCAGATCAAAGGTTTTGATGTGGCGAGCCAAACTCCTGCCCGACGACAATAGGCTCTGAAGCATAATTTCCAAGAAAAAAACAGTCATGCATTGGCTGAATGAATTCCAGAAGTTCCGCTCAATTATTGGAAAAGTATGCCCCACCTCACGACCTTGTTATTGCTTAGTTAGCCTCGGGGCCCTTTGCTAGTCCCGAAAGCTTAATCAGCATGACTTATTGCAAGTTCACAGCATGTGCTTTGCTGGCAGTATGCAAAGGAGGTTTCAGCGATGAACAAAAAGAAAGTTCTAAGAAACTTTTAGAACGCAACGAAAGGACAGACAGGAACAAACCAAAACCAAAACCACAAAAACAAAAAAGCCGTACAACCGAAAGCAACGACACTACGAGAAGCATACACCCTCGAACCAAAGATCACAAACTCAAAGAAGAACGTAGGTTTAGAACAGAAAGCACATCCAAGTGCAGAAGCACAGAAGCAGGCAGAGAGAAGGGGGACATCATAGTCTGAAGTAGAGCGCACGAGGAAGCCGAGAGAGAGAGTGCAACCTTCGTCGACGAGTTACCTGCGCGATCATCCAGTTCCGACAGCTTCTGATCTCTCTCCAGCACTTTCTCCACATTTGTGCGCATGATATCCACAACCTAAAGACGCCGGGAAGGGCGGCACGGGACGGGGAAGAGAGAGACACAAGGAAGAAAATCGCACTAAGAAGAGAGCAGAACACGGAAACATGTGCACGCAACACTGCATCCCTCCTTCGCTACAGGATCACCGTGGCTGCAGGAGACACAAGGAAATGAGAAACGGAGAGAGGATTGTGAAAGACAGGCGAGGGCTTTTATTAGTATGAATGCTTGCCTACTGAAAAAAAAAAAACAAGAAAGCACTACAAAGCACATGTTGGCACACTTGTGAAGCACGTTCAGACAACACTATCAAACCATGTATTACACGAATGAAATCAATCAGTGCGCATGTGTAAAAAAAATCGCTCCAGGTGCTGCGGCAAAGACATCCACAGCATGCACACCACAGAAGGAACTGATGTACCCTTATGGCTAGTACAATGGCCCACTATATCATCTTGTGCTTTTCGGCAGCAACCGTGACAAGAACTGTTCATCTCATTCATCGAAAATGTTACCGAATAGTAAGGCACCACAAACTTGGTAAGTAACAATCTGAATTATTAAATGATCTACATAATTAATCTAACAACCTGTAATGATTGCGTGCTTATACCAGCACTTCTTTTTCACTCAAACTTCTCAGAAAGGCCGAGTTTTTCAGTAGACACTGTTCGCTATGGACACAAGGCTGTCGATATGAACACAAGGTTGTTGGTCAGGTTCACCCCAATTAAACGTTAGGCAACAACCAGTCAGACAAAAACCAACTCGTGCCACTGGAGTGTTCATCTGTGAGGGCAGGATTAATGGGCGATTGTGCTTGAACTATTTCTGGGCAAACTAGAATTGAAACTTCAGCGGAACAAATCAGCAGCAAGTGCAAAATCTTTTTAAGGTTACCAAGGCAAAAATATTGATTACTGCTGCTTTCACATGGCTTCGTAGATTTAGAATTTCCGATACATTCAAGCCTGGAGAACTCTCCAAACGTGCAAGCACACGACGCTGTGCCAAGCTGCTAAGACTGCCAGTCTCCAGGCAACGACCCTTGTTCCACCTGTGGTGTTACAAGCTCTGAATGTCCTTCCACATGAACCTGTGGCGGCGCGCCGCACTATGCGACCTGCACTCTTGTTTTCTCACCTGCGCGGTCATCCAGGTCGGACAGCTTCTGGTCTCGTTCCAAAACTTTCTCAACATTGACGCGCATTATGCCCACCACCTGGGCCCAGCAGAGAAAGAGCGCAACCCCGCCAATGCAAACAAGCCCCTTGCTTTGAAATTTGAAAAATAACACAAACAAAAGCAAGCACTATATTCATTTGTAGGGCATGGTGCAGAAAGATGATGCCACATGTCATCATGCATCAGCCACTTGCTGCAGCACGTAGGCTTTTGTAAGTGGACGAAAAAAAAAAAAAAGCATTTATCAGGTTCAGTTTACAGAAAACTGGCCTCCTTGGTTGCCAGTGACAACTGGAGGAGGTGCTGGGTATATGCACTTTTGTTCAAGTTCTCGCCATCAATACTAATGCCTCAAAGACAGCTACTGCTGCCACACCAAGCAGCCACCGCCTACAAGAGCTACAACCTGAATTCAGTCCTTATCTTCGAGACGATAAATAAGGATATCAACTACGAAAGGGGCGAAAACAAAGCCACGATGGCCAGTCTTCCCTACTATATGCCTCGGACAGAAATATTTTGCAAAATGTTTATGACTGGCTTGACCATTTTAACTGGATTGCCAGCATCGACAAGCAAAATTATGTCCATGAACCGTGGAGAGTTTACTTCACTTTGGAAGACTGCATGACCTTGGCTAGGCTTGGTGTTCTCGGCATCTGCTGGGCATTTCCTCTACGAAGACAGCTTGTTTCCGCACGTCCCCACCTGCACCGCATCAGGCCCTCACGCTTCGGGAACATTTTTCGAAGCAATGGTCCCGCATAATTTCAAATGCTTAGCGGCAAGTTTTGTTCCCCTAAAAATTTTGTGAATAGGCATTCTGCGCGCATCGCACTTTTGTCGCGCCTCTTCTGGAAGAAAGTTCCGATGTTGCCCTACCACTACACAGCGCGAACGCAGTTCTGATGCTTCTGTACAGTGATGTGCCCTAAAATGACAGCCTTGCCGCCATACGAAACACTGACATCACAGGTGCACGTGGTACAGATTCCGCACGTGCCACTTTTCCCTGAAGTCACAAATCGCGGGAACCCAGCTGTCTACCAGTCCAAAAGCACTTGCAAGTACTACTTCCTTGCTTTGGACACCGCCATCGACCTTCCAACTGAACTCTGGAAAATACGCACCCCCCCGCAACACCAACAGAACTGACGCCTAGGCAGGCAGTGCAGGTCCAGCGTACAAAATGCGGGGACGAAGACAAGACAGATGAAAAAGTTGTAGAACCATTTTCCTCGCCTTCTTTTGGTATGGTGGCAAGCGCGTCTCGCGGCTGCCCGCCTTCATTGAGATGTGCGGTGCTACATGTGTAGAATATATGCAGCTGTACTTTATAGTATGGTTACAATTAACTACACAAGAGTAGTGGCCAGTGCTCTTCTGCAGCGCCGCAAATACCACAGCAAGAAAGACAGACATATACGCGTGATAAAAAATTAAGAAAATAAGCCACCTATGCTGTGACGGCCACTTTTCGAGAGAGCGTTCTTGCAATCGGGAAATTAGGTCAAAATTCAGGAGTTTCCTGGAGGATTTGGGAGAGTTGGCAGGCATGATTTGGTACTACAAGTCTTCCAAAGAATATGGCCAACAGCTTGGTGATGCTGCAACACCGAAAGAATGGAGAGAGCTCAGCCAGCCAACTCTTTTTGAAACCAGACGAGAGGGATGTTTTCTGCATACATGATGGCATGTGGCAGTATGCACAAAGTTGTTACATTAGTTGGTTCAAGGACATCAAATAGCTACGTCAAGGGGTGTTAAAGCAACACCAGACTACTCACAGAAAGTATGCAATTGCTACTAATTACCACAATCTGCTAGAGGGTCTACGAAAGTTCATCTTGAAGTTCATGTTATTGCTGCACATGGTTAAAATAAAGTTCTACAGGAATCTTAGGTCACACAGTTACAAACTATTAGCACTTTTTTTTTATAGGAGATGGCTGATTGTAGGCAAAACTAAATAGAAGAACTTCCATTGCACTCCAAGCAGAAACAGCTGCACTGATGCCATTTGCATAAAATTACTCAATATGAATTTCAACCCTGGAGCGCATTGCCTCATGAGCTCTTAGTTAACTTATAGCCTTTATTGGCCCTTATTCGCACTACTAGACCCTGCTCTGTCACACGGAGATGACCACAAATGAAAATATATAATTGCGAACATGAGGGACAGTTGAGGCCATCCACAATATTTGAATGTGCGAGGGTATGTACTCCAGTGTTGCAACTTTAATTGTAAATTGTAAATGTAAATTTTGAACAACCTACATTTCTGTCTTGCACTTTATTTTTATGCAAAAGTATATAAAACTTGAGTCGTGCTTTCTTTTACCCCTAAATAAAGTCTTTTTTTTTTCTTCTGGTAAATGATGAACTCTGAGCTAAGCGTGTGGTTGCAGTCTCAACTGCAGCTGCCTTGCTTCTCACCTATAAGCTTGTTCAGTACAAGAGTTTCCTATCTGCTATTTCAGAAGTTCAATGTATCATTCACAATACAGCTTTGAACACAATACATAGAACACTTATCCTTTCCTGTGCAATTGGTCACCAAATTTTATCGCACATGGAAGACCCAGGTCACAATCTGAGAAAGCTCTCAGAGTTTATCAAAAACGTTGTTACCAACCAATTAAATGAGCTCCTTGGAAAATGTACATTACTGCTCTTTAGCTCTAACATGTTTCGTTTCCTTATAAATACCACAATTTTACATTTGCCAAATGTATTTACAGATTTTAGTTGTTTCTAAATTTTGTTTATAGTGCTATATACTGATCTTTTTAGCTTTGTTTGCTTAAATATCACTAGACTGTACTGCTTTGTAGTATACTGATTTCCTACTTTCTTTCCATGTTCTTTATCGCTGTATTTTACACAGGGCCAAACATTTATGCAAATGATAAAAATCCAATAAATCCCAACATTGCACATAAACTACATACACAGAGTAGGCTAACATGTAGTTGACGATTTAAAATGATGACTGCTGCAGTTTTACATCCCAAAACCACGATATAATTATGACGGACGATGTAGTGAAGGCATCCAGATATCTCGACAATAAGGTGCTCTTTAACATGCCCCTAAATTTACGCACACAGGCGTCGGGCATTATTCCCTGTGTCTAAATACCGAGGTTCAATCCCACAACCTCTGGGCCACTGTTGCGTGCCCCTAGAACTAGACAACACAGTGGGGAGGGGTGTCATAGAGGACGAGCCAGTCCACAATGAGAGAAAGGCTAAGCGGCCGAAACGCTACTGTTCCAGAAACGTACCTCGTCCACTTGCGCCTGTGTCTGCTGTATCCGCTTGGACGCGGCCTGATGCTGGGGGTTCGGAGGCCTGGGCGCCCCCTCCTGATCAGCCCCCGCCTGGCCTCCTGCTACTCCTGGCTGAGACCTGCAACACACGTTGGCAAGCCAAACATCATCGTGACTCTAAGGGGACTGTACTAGGCCAACCACTTCCCGAAATGCCAGCTGCACGAAAAATCCTGGCCCAGCTTTGTTTTTTATATTTGAATGAGACTTCAAACTGCTCTCTTTGTTTAATTTTCTTTTCCAGCTGCATCGGCTGTGAACTGTGTTCTGTCAACAACTTCCTGAGGCGCCAAGTCACAATGCAGAAAGCTAAATCCTAGCCCAGCTTTTATTTAAACAAGATTAAAAACTGCTTCTTTTTTCCTCTGCTACATTAGTTAGGTAAACTTCTTATTCTAAAATACCGATAAATTCTGCAGAAAAAAAAATTATATTTTGGAAGATATCATGCAGCTGCTTTGATCTATGCACTGTTGGAGTATCCTGAAAGTACGCTGTTGTGTTGATTTCAGTCTGTTATTGCTTTCTTTCCGCTGCTGCATTAGCTGGTAAACTTCTTATTAACTTCTTATTCTAAAATACCGACAAATTCTGCAGAAAAAAAAAATGACATCTTGGAAGTATATCATACAGCTGCTTTGATCTACGCACTGTTGCAAGTATCCTGAAAGTACGCTGTTGTGTTGATTTCAGTCTGTTATAACACCATTGCACGAAATAAGTGTGATTAGAACAGCACATATTGCATGAGAGCCTGTGGGAAAATAAATGCTGGTCGGATGTCACCGCCTGCCACATCTACCTTTTTCTCAGTCCTTATCTTCTTCCAGTGTTAAGAAGTCTTGGTACAACTCTACCAAATCACCAAACTTATTGCTATTGAAATTACCTCTACCATAGGGTTCACATGCTAATAAGCAAGACAGTCCCAAATTTGAATAAAAAGCACGGCCCAAAAGTAATTTCAGTTTTAAAGCACAGAGGTGAAGCATCGTACAAACATTTTTAAAGTTAAATGGCGCGACATCAAAGACGCTACTGCTGACAATCTTTTTCATGTGCCTCTTCAGAAATGCAGCCGCGAGATAAGTCAGTGTCTTCCAGGTAGTTTTGGCATTGCTAAGGGCAAGCGCATAGGTCGAGTTGAGCAAAACACCGATAAGCTCATTGCTGCCAACCATCTCATGGATTCCATCATCTTTTGTAACAATGGGTGCTTTCGATTCGAACAGCCATTCGCCCCTGCTAAAAGGAACTTCGAAGTTGAGAACTATGCGATAAAAGTTCGACAATAAAGAGTACTGAGGGGGACAATCATGCATTTACTGCCATCATAGCTTTCAGGCTCTGTGCTACAAAACAGGCAGATGGACAAATCTTTTTTTATAACTTCTGTTATTCTGGTACCCAAAAGGCCACCTATTACCCAAGACAAAATAAATCTCCTAATCACGAATTTGAAGTAAACGCTTTAAATAAGTACACTTCCCTGTTATTTAACACTCGCAACGAGGATGATACGGTAATTTGATATTTCATATTGAACAAACCTTACAAAATACTACATTTGTACGTTTACACACACCTGCGCATATTTCATTTCATTTCATTTATTCAACCTTAAGGGCCCGAAGACATATTTGAGAACTGAAGGACTACGGTGTTCTGCCAACGTACGACTATGTGACCTGCTCCTTGCTGTGAGGCATGATGATGTACTATTTATGTCCTCTTTGCCACAACTCACTGACGTGCAGTAAAATCTTAATGCTACTAAATGAAGTACAAAATCAAGTTATTTGCATCTAAAACACTGCCTCAAACAAACAAGTAGAATGATACATTTTAGGAAGGCTGCTAAGCCTGTATGTCGATACAGTGAGATGTTTCAAAGTAGATAAAAAAAGAGCACAATTGCTGGCTTGTCCTGTGCTTATTGATCAAGGCCAATAACCTTCCTGTTTCTATTCAGAAGTGACTAGACACTCATGTATTATATATTTTTTTGCAAATGCCAGAATGTTGCATTTTTTTATTTTTTTCAAATGAGTGTCAATAGGTTGCAGGCACATTTCTCACTCCTACTTTGCAGCAACCACAAGCTGTCACACCACCAATGCAGAGTTGATGCGGGCCCAAACTTAACATGCAACGTTCACACGACACATACCAGCTACTAAATGGGCTGTAATGGTAGTAATCTCTACAGACAACCCACATATTCTAGCTAGTTTAGTATAATAGACATTACGCAGGTGCAGCTTATTCTTACTGCCCTCTTACCAATGACTAATTAACAATCGGCAGCCATTCATGATGCTGAAATACGACAACTCTTTTTGCAAACGGTATTCCACTTGCAGCCAGAGTTTGGTTCGAGTGACATTGAAAGTCACTTTTTTTAAAGAATATTGCTTCGATTACTATGCCAAAATTTATATTAGCATTGTGTCATTGCTCTAGTGTATCAGTTAGATGCAAACCCTTTTCCTCTGCTATTGTAAGTGTTATGACATGGCAATACTATTATGGTGATAACTTATTCTAAATGCAACTGATTAGAACCCACTTTATTAATTTATTAATATAAGTGACAAGAGCAGGAATGATTTAACACTACGCATGCAATAGACCCACAGCTTGAGTGGGTGGTCTACTTACAGGTACATATTCAGTACATAGGGCGAACTGCCCTAAATTTGCTGAAATTAGAACATGACATTGTAAAGAAAGTAAAAGACACCAAGTCCGATGCGTGGTTCAATGCAAGCATTACAAAACATTTACTCACATACACTATAAAAATTACTGGACGGATTGGTTGATTCACGATTCCTTCTGTAACCACATGTGAAGGCATAATGCATCATAGTCCCCATAGAAACTTGAAAATCACAGCTGTGTTGCCACAGAAGAAATTGGGCAATACTTAGGGCTTCTAGTCATGTGGCATTACACAAGATCTGCGATGCCATAAAACGTCTGACACTCGGAACGCATGCAAGAAGGCAAATGCAAATTGGTGGATTACAGTAGTGGAACAATAGGAAACATTTTTGGGTGGGATTGAGTCCCAACACACCACAATCCCGACAGAATACATGAATGTCAAGACTGGAGCAATTGGATAGCCACTTTTTAATACATACTGCTGTATCCCTTCCCCCCTTTATGCAATGCCCCAACAGAAAATGTAAACTATATAATAAATAGTGTATCCATAACATCAAGCTTAAAAATAAGTGACTATAATAAAGTTAGCTACTTTTACACACGCTATTTACAAAAACAGGCTATTGAGTGAGGAATATGGCACGAACCATAAGGCCGCTAGTTGTGTCCTTCCAGTTAAGAATTGCCAACAAATGGGGCCTCCACATTTGGTGCAATTGGCTACACTTTTGCTTAAGGCCTTGTAATGTCCATGGTGCACAAGTTTAGCTAAATTTGGCCTAGCTAGAGGATTATCTTCAAAACTATCACCTACGGCTAGTGGAGCAGGCACAGAAGTTCATCAGTTTTGATGCTTTCTGTATTGGCACTTTAGCTTTAGAATACAACTGTCAGAGTTCTTGCTGCATACGTGTTTATAAGTAAGATACATTTAGGAGATGAAAGCCACATGGTGTAATGTAAAAGGAAGTACAACACGTGAAAAGTATAGAGCCAGATAGTGCTAAAGATTTTCAATTCGTCATTTTTAATGAAATTATCATTCCAGCTGCTTAAAGCTAAAAACAGTCTAAGGAGAGTAAAAAAGCTGCGCTTTATAACATTTAGACATTGAGACTTTAGGACAATGGTCGTATGTTATACATCAAGAAAAGCTGTCATTGTGTCATCATTTACTATTAATACGGTCCCTCCATAACAACTTTATGAACTACTGTTAGAGAAAGAGTTTACTTTCCGTACGTAATTAATCATGGGTGGCCACTATAATCACCAGGTGGCATAGTTCCAACTGCTGAAGCAATGCCTTGATACTTCTCTCTCATATGAGAAAATATAAAACAAAGTGGGACAATGAACTTGAGACTTGTTTGAATTAAGAGCAAAAAAACTCGGCGAATGAATCATCACGTGTCGATTGTGTGCACGACCTTTGCCCGTGAGCAGGACAAATATCCAATGTTTGTGATGGCATTTGCATACAAACGAGATGACTGTGCCAGAAGAATAACTTGCAGATCTATACGATTACTACAGTGTTTCATTACAATGATAAACAAAACACCTAGTAAAAGCAGAAACTGAAATGTAACACCTAAAGGCTTGAGCCTGTCTTTCGAAACAGCCCTGCCCGAATTTCTAGCAACTGATTCCCTCCACCCCTGCGAAACTAGAGCACTGCCTGCACCGCGTGTTTGAAGTATTGTACCGACTGTTAACCTTGCTCCTATTGCACACCAATCATGACACAGGCGTGTCATACGAACCGTCAGTAATTGGAACATATGGGTGACAAAAAAAAAATTATGCCGCAGTGCTGCAGTAAAAACAATTTTATTTCGCCTGATACCGTGCCTCGAAAAGGGCGTACCCCGCTAACCTGGACAAATTTTTCATCGAGAATAACGCACAGCTGTTGTAAGAGCACCAGTGCCGAGTTAACAGATGTTCCGCAAAAGGTTCTTCCCGCAGAGTTGACGGGACCCGTATTCGTTTATTTCCCAATGCCGAGTTTATCTCGGGCAGTAGTGGACAGAAAACGGCATATGGTCGACATCCGAGGCTTTCATCGGCAGCAGCGGATCGCTTTTGAAGGGACGAAACAAACAAAGAGAAAAAGAAACACTGCGACGCCTGTGCGCTCGCTCTTGGCACGACCAGCGTGAAAAGAGCTCCCAAAGCGCTCGCTGTACAAGCCCGTGAGTCATCGCGCCGCCGTCATCCCTCGCCCCATCACGCACGTCTCCAGGTGACTGATGCGTTATGCTTTTGTTCTCAAGAAGCAACAAGAGAGAGGCCATTCGGTAGACAATGCGGAACGGACACAGCGCCCTTATCTGTCCAAGGCTGCTGCTGCTTAGAGCGACAGATACAGGACGGAAGAACGCGAAAAGACGGCGGACTTATCAGATGAGCACGCACAATGAATGAATAAAAATGAACTGTGTTCCTCCACGGAATCCGCCCACCAAGCGAGCCTCAGTAGCCAGTACATCCCTCCTCGCAACGATACTAAAAACGCTGGATAATTATCACGGTTACTAGCTGCGCACGAACGTCTGCTGAAAAAACGCCCACGCGGACGGCTGTTCAGTCATACTGACTGACGTTAAGGACTGGCTACTAACGGGAACATACGAGGAAGAAAAACGAGCGGTCAACTACGAGGCACGATTCGCTCGTGTGTGACCTTCCCGTAAGCGTCAGGTGTGCGTCAGATGCGCGACTATCGTGCCATGTCGAAGCCTGCCAGGGGGGCTGGCTGTCAAAACGAAAATAGGGCACCTGCCTTCACAGCTGAGGCCTGACGCGATAGATTCCGCGGCAATGTGGTTCAACGGCAATGCGGGAACTCGGATCCTCAATATTTCGACGCGAGAGCGTCCAAATCGCGGTCGCTCAATTTGGTACAAATAACGAACCAGCGCTGGGTCAAAATGGAGAGCTTTCGATTCGGGACGGGGGGCCGTGCTAGCCTGCGAAGCGGAGCTCCCCGAGGAGCTCTCTAACGATCAACGAGTCGACGACTCGGACAAAAGGGGCGCAGAACGCATAGCCCTACGAAATGACCACGGATTTCCTCGTACAACACACCACGCGTATGGCAAGTAACGAGTTATGGTTCATATGCGCGGAGGCAAAAAAAAAAAAAAAATTAAGTCCGGGATGGGCAGAACCGGCAGTGGCCTAGCGAGCAATCGGCGAAAGAAGGCTGGCTGTCGCTAATTATGGAGTGTTAAAGCAACGACCTCCTACCGAGACCGATAAAGAACGTAAAGGAAATGCGACTTACATGTTCCCGAGCCCGAGGTTGATTAAAATTAAGGCTTTAAAGGGCACTCAGGATCAATGATGGCGACAGCTTTTTCAATGACGTCATACATCCGGGGATGAGATGCGTACGTTGTGCAAGAAACCGACGCCGCATGGCGCCTCGATCTGCCATGGCTGTCGTCTGCTACTCTAGTAGTTTGCTGTAGATCCGCTTCTGGGGACGCCCGCAAGACGAGATCGGGGAGTTTGAAACCACTTGATGTTTGAGAAAGTAGCCTTGAGACTTTACTTTTTCATTGTTATGATAGGTGTGAATCTTTCCGCTTCCGGAAATGCTAAAGAAATGTTGGCTGAAGAGTCTTGAAACCGGTCGTGTGACTGCTTTCGCGTTAAACGGAAAAAAAAAAATACGGTACATCTTTACTCGTCAAATGACAACCTGATACTATCGACTGTCAAACAGTTTTTTTTTTTCTTCATCAAAGAGCACAGGCTATTTGTCTGGTCAGAGGAAAGGAACGGCTCCCTGCGGACGAACACAAATCGCGGCTCGCCTTCCCAGAATAGCACGGCCGAAATATTGATCACACTCGCGCCGCGTAGCGAAGCACTGAGCGTGTCCGGGCTTCCAGAAAAGGCAACAGATGTGGACAAAGGCACCGATAATAGCACATTTGAAACACAAAAACGTGATCGATGGGAACAGCGGTTGCGGTGCTTTCCGGCAGATGCCGTCATGTCAGCGGCCGCCGAAAAAGTGCGCGTATCGTGGTTGCTCCCTTTCCCGCAGGATGGCTGGACGGGTCCCGCGCATCAATACTGTCTCGTTTATGCAACTGCCATGCAACTGCAGAACTTCGCAGACTGTCTCATTTTGTGTACTAAAACTTGTGTTCCAAGTCACATAAGGTGCCTAAAAAACACGTGACGCGCCACGTCCTTGTTGGACGAAAGTGAGAGCACGCACTGAAGTTGTCCACTACATCATGATTTTTTTTTTATCATGAATGAAATTTTGTGTAAAGTGCTCGGCTGTATTTGCAACGAGGTATTCTCGTCCGTGACGTAACATTCACGACAGTGTCCAACATCAGCAAGTTTGGAGAAGTGGGGCTGTGGGCCTCCATTCCACTATATGCCGGGTCCGCAATCTCAAATTCACTAGGGGGCTTCATAGCACTTCGCAATAAATTTATTAGGGCACATCCGTTTGCATGAGCTCCGAGGGCACGTTGAAGCATCTCGGAGGCTATGAATTTAGTTCCCTAGGTGCTTTTGCTTCTTCTAATGTGATCATATAGGTAGATCTTTTTGTGATAAAAAAAGTTAAAAAAACTAAAAAAAGAAAGAGGAGTGAAAATGCGCGACTATTGTTAAATCTTTTTTTTTGCTTTTTTGTTATATTCAAAAAGTTCTATACAATAGTCGAGAGATCAAACTGCTGCTGCTATCGTTTTACCACCATGGGAATGATGGGCAATAAAGGCTTCGAACTGGATATCGTTAACTAACGAGCTCCCTAAGAAGTTTTTTTCTTAGAGTTTGTTTCGTTTTTGCACGCCGCGAGTAGCGGGGTGTGGTGGAAAACACTCAAACAGTGTATTTGTTGCTCTGCGAGTCAAAAGACCACCAGGTCTCTGTTTGCTGCAACAGACAGTGCAGCTTTACAAGTTGTATTTGACAGTTGTACCAAAGCGCAGTGCCCTCGCCACGGCGCAAATATTTAGCATCCCATGCCCCTCCGGAATATTGAATATTGGTCGCACTTTTTTTTATAAGCGAGTCTTTCCGGAAACTGGTTCAAATCGACTGCAAAACGACGTCCAAGTTCTGCAGATGGACCGTTACTTTCTTCTGGCTCGACTTCACAACAAAACGAAAGATGCACTGGGGGCAGACCACTTGGACAGACGCACCTGGAATCGCAGCAGACGATAGGTGTTTCTCCCTCAATACAGTACTGTCATTTCCGTATATAAATAATTCATACTTTCGATGGAGCGTGTTTGTTTTAAGCGCTGTGAAAAATAATTCATCATAGTGTGATGCCAAGTCTGGAACCGCTGCAGAGCAGTGCATGTACCATGCTTGAATTTGTCGATGTTTAACATCCATCTCACAGCCACAGAAACATTTTACAATAAATTTCCCGCGCAGAAGAATGAAAGAAGTGTTCAGAGGAAATAAATTCGTGACACATTGTTTTGCACTAGAAAAAGAAACGTCGCAGATTTGTAGAATGAAATCCATTCGATGCAATTCTGAGTTCCGTACTTCCCAGCATTCCGGGTAGGTACAAGTACATTGGCACAGCTGAAGGTGCCCGCATAGACACTAGCACCAGATTCTCTCGTCATTATTATAGTACAAAAATTCTCTGGTTAATGCATCGCTATCTGCGAAAGTTCCACTGCAGGCCCACGGGCTCCGATTTTCAGTGCGTGAGAACAGAAAAAAAAAAAAAAGCCTTAGAATTACGTCTGCGTCAAAGGACCCTATAGGTGGCCAAAATTTATCTTTTGACCCTCACTCCGGCATGCCTCATAGTCATATCGTCATTTTAGACATTGTTAAGAATTTGCTTTGTCGCGATGGTAGCGGTGGCAAAGAGCGGCGAGCCGTCGAGCGGACTTCGCTGAAGCCTTTGCCCGAAGGCGAAGCAGGGAGGCAATCCGTTTTGAAAACAGCAACAAGAAAGAGCGTTTACTGTAGCAGGTTGTCGTTTTTTTTTACAGAGCCAGCCAGCACGAGAACGTCAGCTGGGGCAGATCCTCTAAACTTGGGGCCAGCACGGCCTTAAATAACGTTTTGGTCTTTTCTGCGAGACCAGTTCCCTGGAACGGCACAGTGACTCGGCTGAGGAGACGCAGCCATACCCGGAACTGCAAGGTGGTTCGGCGGAGGAAGCGACGTTATCCCCGGAACTGCACGGTTCTCCTGCAGGGAAGGCGGCGCTGGGAGGGGGGAGACCGTTCGTCGGAACAGCGGTCGATCTCGTGAGACGTGCTCCCGAACGAGGAAAATGTCTGTGGCATAACAACATAAAGCCCCCCAAAAATGAAAAATAAAATCAGATGCAGAGTTCTAAAGGAAGTTGATCATAATCCGTGATGGATGGGGAACACCCAAACAGTAGCATAGCTAAAATCATTTATTGAAGGGTGAGCGGTTAACCATACGCCACCGGGTGAGCTTACATACCTCGGCGTATCGCTCGTTGAGCGGTACGTGCAAAACTGAAAGATTTTAAAGTGAAAAAAACTAATATCCCCCCCCCCCCCCACCTTCCCACTTCCTAGAAGAACACACCCCCTGTCCTGGCTGCAGACCAGGGAACGCTAACAGATTTAATTCGAATCACTTCGACAGCAGTTGCGTATTTAAGGAGTACTTAAATTGGAAATTTTCAAGTTAATACAGGCAGCGGGATGAATCATAACGCCACAATAAACCTACTTTTCTCGAGGTCCAGCTTGGTCGTCCTTCGTGGGTTCTTGAGGGCATACAAGTTGTGAGACGTCATTGGATGAGCTGAGCGAGGTGAAGTTCAGATAAGAAACTCTAGACTGTGATCCGCCAACGAACGAAGCTTGAATGGTTGCTTTGCAAGCTTGAACAAGCGCATTTCAGTGTTCACGGGCACTCTTCCGAGTGTTTTATAGGTTATCACGTAAGGAGGTGAACAAAATATTGTCACGGGTTCGTGACGTGTACGAATGAAGCAGAATTCAGGTCGAATAGTGAACGGTTTAATCGGGCCGAACTTGTGGCCACGTAAAAGGAAAGTCAGATTACAGCAAGAAGCTGGCACTGATAGCGGTGAGCAGGGCGTCGCGGCGAAGCGTGTCAGCATTTATACCCTTGCGATAGAATATTCTAGCGTTATCGCTGGCGGTGACGTAAGTTCCAGAAAAAAACTGTAGTGTTCACGAAGTGGGCGTAATCTTAACAAAACGATCTACTACAGACTCGAAGCTTCTCAAACACCGTAGGCGCGGTTTGCGCTGAACGTAGTGTAACGGTGCGATAACAAATCTTCCTCTCTCCATGGCTACGCCATTGACGTCGACTCATGTCAACGTGGCCACGCTGACGTCACGTCCTATAAGACGGCTGCATCTCGTATTCTTTGTTTACCCCATTTCAGTTAGGTTAGTTCGTTATCAATCTTTGACAGCTGAGAAGGTCATCTGGAATGGAGCATCCTGCATACTGTGTCACGCTACAATTTTGTTCATCACGAACACGTCGTCGCTGGATGACCGCGTTTGCGGCTCCGAGGACAGCCTACCCATTGTTTTCGTGCTGATACTACTACTACTACTACTACCACTATTACTGCTGCTACTTCTTCTCATACTACTATTACTACTACTACGATAAACTAATAGCCAGTGGAGAGCCCTGGACTAGGACAGATATCAAGCTGCCTTACTTTATTGAAGTTGTTTTGTTTTTCTTCCTCAACTAATGCTAGCACGACCCAAGGCGAAAGCTTCATGCATCTCAATCCAGCTGAAGTCACTGTAATTGCCTTCAGCTAATTTTGATGCGCTTCGATACCTACTCCTTTCATCGACCCTTAAGCACCGTAACCCAATTCACTTCACTCAGATTTTCTCAAGTTCACTGTGGACGCGCACTAACTTACTGTGCTCTGTAATTTAGCTTCATTCGTTAACACAGGTATCGCGCGACTTTCTGTACCGTTCATTTTGACGCCGAAGACGCTGGATATTTTTACATATAAAGCTTTCGCCTTAGTAAATCACCGTATGTGTCGACTTGGAAATAATTCGCGATGTACGTACGTACCTCCGCTTATGAAAGTCTCTGGCGATGTCCAATTCTTCAGGATGATCAGTAGATCAATAAAATAGACGAGGCAAACGACAAGTATTCGAAGTTTCTAGCTTCAAAAATTTATTTGTAAATATCTTGATGTATTGTACAGAACTTTTTTTCAGGAAAGCCTAAATCTTATTACACGTGCACGGTCATTCTCAGTTTAATAACATTTCTCTTTATTATCATCATTTTTAACATTTTTTTTCTCGGCACACACTGGCTTTCATGCGCCTGGCTTGACACAGCGTACACAGGGTGTCATTGTAGAACAACGCGCTTTTTTTACAGAGAGCTGCGCAGCGAGTGAAATCACAGTGCAAACCGGGAACTAGTGCGAAATGTTTTATTTTATCGCATAAAACAAACTCTGCATCGAGGGTCATAAAAAACAAAAAAGAAATACTGCGTGTATTGTCCACCCAATGTGACGAGAAACAAGATATGCCTAACGTTACAAGAACAAAGTCAGGAAGAAGTACATTTATCAGCTTCAAACGCGGTCTCATTGATTTTTTTTTTTTAATGAGAAGGAACGTATCTCTCGCGGCGACAAGCAGCTCCAGAAACTAAAGCACTCCGTATAGCACAGCTTGAAATTTGCTCTGCCGGCCACAGCGTACTTAAACCTGCGACATTCGTCTCAGTTAACCACTTATTACTCAATATTTTAGGGGTTTAGCGTCCCATAACAAGGCTACGATTATAAGAGACACCTCAGCCTGAGCCTCCTCAAAGTGCCAACTCTTGTGAGTGACATGGCGCGCAGCATAATTTCTGAATAGAGCGAATGCATTCCGCCATTTTATGCAATCATTGTGAACTTAAAGACGACATCACCTGAAATTGAGGCTCCCTAATCCGCAGTTTTCTGTCCTCATTTTGACAATCGCTGCTCGGCATTATTTCCTTTTTTTCCAGTACAACAGTGGAGCTTGTGATTATTAACACCACACATTGGGGACAAAGTGACAGCCCCGTACCCCCTGCCCTCCCCCTTTTTTTTCGGGATGAGGCGGGGGGGGATGAATTACAATATTTGTTTTCCTAAACATATTTTCGTCGCTGCTTACGCGATGATATGATTATTAGGCCAGAAAAATATTTCATTATTTTTCGGGAATCTTGGGAAAAGAAAGTTCATTGTTTCCTAGTACAGGCTCGTGACTGTGGGCGGACAAACAGCAGCAAGGTGCAGCGTGTTCCTCAGCTGGCCAACACGTCAACAAACTTTCTACCAACGCAGGGTAACACACCGTGCAGAGTGAGAAAAAAAATGTAATAATGCGTGTCATTTATCATCAAAATTAGGTGGCTCGAATGGCAGACACATAAACACACACAATGCAGTAAAAAAAAGAAAACGAATGGCACGACACAAATGTTCGTTTTGAGCCTAAACATAACACAAATAACAAAACTGTTCATATCGTCACAATGCAGGGACAAGGCCTCTCGTTTTCAAAAAAAAAAAAAAAGGAAAGCAACGTCAGTTTTGTGGTGCGAATGAAAGAACACTAGTCCCGGCGTGCGCTTAAAGACTTTAGTGATTGGTCGAACGAAGAACCGAGAGAAACAAACGGGTGTCATAAATATAAATAAGTTAATAGGCCGGCTGCTCTTCGGTGAACAGTAGCGACCCGACAGATTGCTTACGCTCCCAACCAGCCTATATAAATCACCGCGGCTTATCACTTCCTCGTCATCTCTTTCATTTATCTCTTACTTCTAGTAATTACAGTAGCAGATCGAGATAGACGCCACCTCAGCAGCGTTCCGATGCGACCACGCGTTTATCAGGATAAAAAAGCAAACGAAAAACAAATGAAAGCGAGCACAGAGAAATACAAGCTCGTCAAACTATCTCGAATTTCATTGCGAGCAAACATACATCCGCCGCCGCTTCAATCGATGAAGGAAAAAGAAAGTATAACTAAGCTAGCAATATAGCTAGCATCAGGAGGAGGCACCTTTATCTCATAGAAAGCGCGGAAACTAGTTTTCGATTATTTACATAGCATGAAACGGTAGCGTTTTCTTGTTTGCAGCTTCGCAAAACGGCGATTAAGGATTCAAAATTTCAGATTCCGTCTATCTTGCTTTATGCCAAGGGCCCTGAAAAAAAAAACTTTAAAGAAAATTGTACTCAAGAATATTTCTACAACTATTGTCATCGTGGGAAAAGAAACTCCCGTAGCGTTTCGCGAATCGAGTGACATTTAGTTAATGAACTGAAGCCGCGAATATAAAATCATAAGATTCTCGCTAGCTTTTTTTTTTTAAGGGCAAATGCGCCCTTGACTTTGAGATAAATTTGATGGGAAAAGAATTGCCAACAACCAGTCACAGCTACACAGCAATTGTCAGCACGTTTGGTGTTTTTATTTGTTCATTTATTTTTGTCGAAAGTAGAGAGGACTTGCGAATTCAACAGTGAAGAAAATCTATCATTAAAAAAAACAAATTAATGCATGAGATCGGCTCACGCGTAGCCGAACATATCTATCTACATCGCTTCCTCTTTCCTGTACACAAAGACGACGAATGTGCCAGAGAAAAAGAAATGTTTATGTATAATATTTATATTTATATAATATATACTATGTTTTTCCCTCAGACTACACATGGAAGCAAAAAGTTTGGTCGTGTGCGCCAAGCGATTGCGTCAGAAAAAGGAGAAACTGAGAAACACGCGTTATCACAACTCAATATATAGATTTCTCTTTTTTTTCCTCCCCCATCTCTATATACTCTATCCGTTTTTTCAGAGAAGAAGAGAGAGGAAAAGATAATAATCTCTCTCTATCTTTCTCGCCACTCTATTCTCCAACGTCATGATTTCTTTCTATATAAACGCGACGCTTACCATAAATAAGCACGACGAGCACACGTGGGCTTTGGATTTGCACGCACACGAAAAAAATAGATATAAAAAACGGCGAGGTGTGTACGAACACAGGAAAGAAAGGTCCATCCAAGCCAGCTAGTAATTTACAGCGAACAAGCCACAGCGGCGCGTCGGCACTTTGACTAGACCTGTTTTGCTTCTCGTGGGTTCGTAACGTAATCGACGAAGTGTGGCAGCAAGTAGCAGATATTCTGGGAGAGACATAAACACGATAATGAGCCCGACGTATGCACACTCAAGGGCATTCTAAAAAAAATTGGGTCAAATGATTCATACTGCATCGAGTCCGGCCAGACACATAAGTGACTAAGTAACGTGTTCACTGCACTGCCTTTTTTCTTTCTTTTTAAACTTCCCTGTCAAAAACGCAGAAGCCAACGAGGGACTAAAGTTCCGTTTTCCAGGCGCTCATTGCGCAGTAACAACTGCGCCGCAAAAGCCGTCACTCGCTTCCAGAGCTGCTATTGGTTTTCAGGCAAAATGAGAGAGAGAGGGAGGGTGTAACACAATAACAACAAAGTATTATAAATAATAGGGCGGGAAAGGGTGGGGGGAGCAAGGATAAGACTGACTAGGCTCTGCACGGTCACTCAAACGGCGATAGTCAGTTCGCGATCAGCATAGTAGGACACAAAATGTTTCTTTTGTTTTTCTTCTGCCGCATTTCGAGAGACAATACCCTCCAGGCGGCATGCCAACAACAAAAGTACCGGCGGAGCATGAAAAACAACACGTCTAGGAGCAGCACCGACGGTGTCTGTGGGGCTGGAGGCGCATCGTTGGATACGCGCCGTCAGAGACGCTTCATCAGGCGAAGAAGTTCTTCGGGCGAATCCTCGCGGCGGAGCGAGAGGTTCGCAGACAAAGCTGTGGCCTCCGATATCCACGTGCGCTCGAGCGCGCCCACCGATCTCGGAGGCCAGTACGAGACTTTGGTGAGGAGCAGCCGAATTTCCGGCAGACGAAGCCTTGCAGCGGCTAGGACGTGTCCGAAAGGAAGGCTGTACGTGTAGCCCTGGCGTCATCGGCTCGTCTCGTCAGACTGCGCGCACGCGCTGCTGAGGTGTTTCCGGTTCCGGCGGTACCTCGCGCTGCTGCTTTTCTTTCCATACCGTGCAGACATTCGCGGACGCCGCTACCGCCGGTTGTTGACTATGGTGGTAGTGGTTGCAGCAGCCCGTAGCCCTTTCTGGGCGAGCAAGTTTCGAAGCTTCTGCAGGTTGTTCTGCGTGATGGGGTCGTCGGGCTTCAACCGGAGCGCCTCCAAGTAGCTCGCCTCTGCCTCGAGCAGCTTCCCGTTGACGTGCAACATGGCGCCGAGGTTCATGTGACTCGTGACCTCCTGCAGCAATATGAGAGAGAGAGAGAAAGAGAAAAGAAAGAATGAAACAGTGAGGACTTACAGACGGAATATGTTGCGCAGAACAACGATGTATTTATGTCCATTGTAGGAAACTACACTATATCCTGTTTGTTCAGATTTCACACATTGCTGCACATATTTAAACGAGGCAAAGCTGTTTGCTAAATCAAATTATATGTTTCATAATCTCCGTACAGTAATTCCAATGTATTTTTTTTACTTCTGCAGACATATACTCTGTATTTGTATTTCTTTGGTGAGGTCGAAGTACTAGATACGATAACTAAATGTTTCCATCTGCAGTGCGTGCTGCATTGGTCGTCAAGATAGGGACAAAAGATGAGCTACTAAAAAGCAGCTTTTAGTACTTGTTTTTGCATTCTTTACACTGTTGACACTGTAATACACAGCAAATAAACTGATGCTTGAAATTTTAATTTTATTGGTTGATTGATTGAATTGAGCTGCTCGTTTGCCCGTTATTAGCGTAATAATTATTGGCGTGCAGATAGGAGAGGAAACGAGAAAAAAAAATGTCACAGCTTTGCCGCAAAGGCGAAGCAATGAATGCGACAACAACAAATTGGAATGTCACGCGAAGAATGACAAGCAGATCGAAATGTACCCCGCGTTGCTCACGCGAATAAGTCTCTCATTTGTTACTTAGTTGTGGCTGAAAAGCGCGCTCTTTTCGCAAATGGAGACCGTGCAGCAAGTGCAGAACTTTGTGTGCCCGGTGACTACAACAGAATGGTTGTCCATACGATTGCTGAGTTTGTCCAGCCGAGAATGTCCATACAATTGCTGTCGCGATAATATAACAGTGCTATCGTTCTTTTGCGGGCCCGATTTTCACGCAACCAATTTTTTTACGCTCTGATTGTGAACCACTCCTGAAACGTTTTCGCATCGAACGGCGCTCCCGTACAGTGTTTGTACTGCAGTTGAGCTAGATTTAGTACATGGATAATGCCACGCATGCCCGACTAGGTCGTGTTACGGTGGCACGACCTAGTCAGGGTGATTACTCAGCCTTTAGTCATGTCCCCCAAGGCAATATGTGACAAATTTGGTTTGAATAAACCAAGTAAACGAAATACTTGTTGTAGACTCACGACTGAAATATAGCACAGAAAAGTCTTCAGTAAAAAAAAAAAACCCGCTAGGCCTTAGTGGAATACGAGGCACAGTCACGTCGAAAGCTCGAAGAGCGGGCTTTTAGAGCTTCTTGTAAGCTTTTTTGAGGCGACTACTACAAATATGATTGCGAGGTACCCACTAGGCCATAAAGGATTGCAATTTCGCCAATGAGAAAAGTACCCGCTATACAATTATTCGTTCCGCGAAGAAGAACTATGAGTGGCGAGCTTTGAACCACCCACCGGTTACGCAATTCGCGATGTGCGAGGCGCTGTGTTGTTTTACTCTTCGAACTAAATCACATTTATTAACATGATTCCTTACTCGATATGGCGCCTGCACGCATGCTTGAAACTTTTTTTTTTTTTTTCAAAAGAGTTTCAAGCTCCATTGCACTCAAGTGGTGGAATATTCGATTGCCGCGCAAAGAGCCTGGGTTGGTATCCCACTTCGAACTAAAAATTTAAAAAGAATTATTTTATTATGTGCGATAGCTTTTACGAACATCGTCAGCAGCGGCAGCAACTACGTCCCCAAAATCAGTTACTGTTGTGTTCTCGCAAGAGCTTTCGCGGTAAAACAGGCTTCATTGCTGTGGTACTTTCACTTCAGGTAAGTCCACGGGTTTAAAAAAAAGGAAAAGATTAAAATGCATAAACTTATTTTTTATAGTCGACGTTGAACAAAACTCACGCAAATATTCATTTTCGCTAGGCTGTTTAAAACAACCCAGGTTTCCCGTTAAACTTTGAATCTCCGCGCGGGGCTGCATATCGCGTGTTGAAAGTGGGCTTTGCCACGAGCGTAGTCTAACTGTAAAAAAGCACGCTTTACAGGCGAAGTGAAGCGCGTGCGTTTGTTTGTGGGGAGCGCGGGGGACTCGGCAAAATGGTAGTTTCGATACTTCGTGGTCAGTATTTGCAATGCGCTACATGCGTTTGCAACGAAATGGCGTTTGTACTTAATGATCCGAGCAACCTCAGAACTACGTCCAAGTGCGGCCGTCGCCATGACAGATAATCTCAGAGCATGTGATCGATCAACAACAAACTCGGGTGCTGCATGCCACCACCGTGGTAAATAGACCGACCACGCTGCACCCTCGATAATACATTCGTATTTGATTTATTTGCTTGCACGTGTTTCTATCGCTTATTTTCGTTTGCGAGCACGACGCTGAAGCGGACCGACATCAAACGGGTCGAAACAGTAAAGTGAATAACGAAAATAGGCTTAGAAGGCAATAAAAAAATACCGTAGCGCCAAAGTAAACAAGACACATGAACACAGTAGTGCAGCGCTAAATATCGTTCTCACATTGTTATTGTTCCTTTTTTTTTTCAAAGTTTTTTTTCTCTATGTTGATGCCTACTCTCTCAACAAAACCTTTAAACAGTATGAGAATGGACGCTGTATTGGCATAGATGTACTTACACTAGGTCGAAGTTTCACTGCTGTATGGTAGAACGCCTCGGCCTCAGCATTCCGCCCGGCTTGCCTGAAAAATAAGCCGATTGAGTCAGATACAGCCTAGTGCTGGAGCGTTGACGGTAGAGAAGATTTACTACATATGTATGTCATTTTTCTCCACTTGTTCAAGTTTCTGGCACTTTCGCTACCGTACGCCGTGACCGATGCTGTTTTTTTTTTCCTATGAAACATATAACACTTTGAAATCAGTAGTGCGGGCTTTGCTTACCTCAGCGTGTTAGCAGCGTTGAAGATGATCTCGTATTCATCCGGCGCGAGTGCTGCCGCCCGCAGGTAAAGTTCGGCGGCCTCCATATGCCGGTCAGACTCGGACAGGAACTGGCCTGCATTGGACGACGACGCCATTGAGTAAACTGGTGCGTCTTAATCTTTATTCAGTAGTAACCAACACGCTTCGGTCGAAGGCCGAGTTATCACTCTATATTGTATGGTTTCCTTCTTTTCAATGTATTCGAACATATTGGCCTTGTTTCACAAATGATTTATCTATTCTTTGCGCAGCGACATGCTGGCAAATAAGTAACAGGAAGTTACTGACGAAGCCAACAAGATTATATACTCACCGTAGTGCTGGTACACACTGGAGTCGTTCGGAGCTAGGCCTTTAGCACGAAGGAACCACTGCTCCGCTTCCGTGGGCCTGTTCTGGAAACGTTAAGAAAAACCACGCAAAGCATTGACCACCCTCGCACTTCCCGGCTCAGTTATCGAAAATTCTAATCGCCATTCAAACCTTTCTTTCACCCCTTGCTCTTAACACTACCCCTTTCTCTCATGTAGAGACTAAAAGATACCACAACACGCGAATAAAAAGGTACACAACATCAGTGACAAGGACGAATGATTTTGTAAATATCGGTAGTTCACACGATTAGTTCGAACTTAGGGATTATGCTGTTCAGGGATGACGTAATTATTCACAAGTTAATCTATAGGCTTTCGGTGCTTATGGAAACAATATTTGCCAGCGTGAAAATAAACAAAGCTCTGATTTTCGTAGTTTGTTATGCCAACCAAAGACGACGACTATGACGACTCTGAAAAAAAAATGGCCCTGTATCTCATGTTAAACTGCGAATGTCGTCGAAAGATGATAGTCTTGCGTATGCAGAGAGTGAACAAAACGTTTATTATGGTCTGTGCAAGAAAATTGATTAATTATATTCTGGAGGCGCTGCGTTAGAGTACCTCGAGCGTGTAGCGAAGGCGAACAAGCGCATCAAGTCACGTCACACGTGAGACATGACCGCTATCTGGCAGTTATCTTGGAAAACGAAGCGCACGGGTGCGCACGCCCGTCTTGGAGGTGATGAGGTGTAGAACGCAAGGCGACGGGTAGGTGCCACCAACATGTCGTCTTAGCAAAGCGTTCGAAACACTTGCCTTTTCGTGCAAGCGTTGCATGGTCAGCGCAGCTTGATAAACGCTACGGTCCTTAGAATTACTTATGTATGCCTTTTCTAGTATAAAAGCGCACATACAGAATATTGACGTGCTGTTATGGTGCCTCAGATATTCGCAATAATTGCTTTTTAATTGACAATTGCACAAGTAAGAACGCTGAATCTTGAGCAATATTGGTGGGCACTGCGGATGGGGTCGGCCATTTGGGTATCACCTGGTGCCTTTTAGGGCACCATTAGGGGCGGGCAAATAGACAAATGAACGGACAGACAGACAGACAGACAGACAGACAGACAGACAGACAGAAATTTTTGCGTCGAAGGTCCCTAAGTAAGACTATCGACTTTAAGACGTCTTACCAATTTCGATAAGAGCTTCGCGTACGTCAGATGCGCCGGTATGTGGTCGTGCTTAGCCTTGAGTGCTTCCTTATACCATCGCTCGGCCTCGAAAAAGTCCCCGAGCTTGAAGTACGCTTCACCTGCAACCACAAGAGAAGAAATGTTGATGCGCCATTTCTTAATTTTTTTTAAACATTGCTTATAACATTTATAACTTATAACTCTCATGTAACGCAAGCAAAAAAATAACTGAATCTATTATTTCACTTTATGAAATTAAAACCGCTTATTTTGCAATATCTTTAGTTAATAGGTAACTATATCCTTTCCCACTCTGCATCCCTTTAAATGGGAAGCTTGGAAAGTAATTAAAATTATGCGAATTTCTATCAGGGCAACAAATTAGCTTCCGCATCGTAAGTGTGCTCGCCAGTCCTATCGAACTCATGCACTTTTTCCATATTATAGCAAGCTGCGACTTCGGTGTAAATGAACTTACTGCGAGCATTACTCAGTTTGCCACTTTCAGGGGCTTGATGTTTAATAACAAGGGTGCACATTGCAAGAATGCTCGTGCACCGTAGAGTGGGACGCACATTAAACACTTTCTAGTAACGAAATAAATTTGAAGCTCTCTATTACGTTGTTGGTCATAATATATACTGGAACATAAAACCAGGTATTATATTATGATGTTTGAAATGCAGCTTCATGACTTTTTTTTCGTTCGTGAGAAAAAGGTCATAACGTTTGTGATTGAAGCACACACACAAGCACAGATGAACAGGGATGAATAAACAGTTCCGCGCGTGACTCGGACTGTTAATTGCCAGTGAAATGAGACGGAAGCTCACCCATCATATTGTAGAGGGACTGCGGCTGATAATGATCCGGCATCTTAGCAACCGCTTCTTGGTAAACTCTGATCGCCTCCTGGAAGTGAACAAGTCGACAAAGTGTTTCTCTCCGCGCCACGTCATCAAGTATAGACGAAACATGCACATCGATCAAGGCAGGCTCAGATCGCGTGGCACGAAAAAAACACGCAGAATCCGTACGCACGTCAATCATATGCCAAAGTAAAGGGGCTGACACGAGTTAGCTACATTTGCTACGAATATTTTTCAAATTAACTAAACTTGAGTTGTCTGGCCGAGAGCTTTCCCCAAACCTCACTCGCCAATAGCTGTAATAGCCAGATAAATTCAACGTATAACACCGAAACACGATTTGTTACGAAACGAATGACGGTAAACAAATCACGATGCGATGTAATCAAAAACATATCAAAATCAAATAATTTTATTTTCCCACAAAGAAATAGGTTCTGGAGAGGTTCACTGGCTAAAAGCTGTTTATGGACAGCTTGACATGGCCAGTGAACCCTATACAAGGCAAGTGGGACAATGACAAAGATGTGTATAACAATAAAGACCGTAAGATAACATTACAATACCAAATACGGTGTAAGAAAAACATAAATATACATCACTACGAAACATCCTGATACCAGCATAGCACAGATGATAACATGGACGTGAGAAAAAAAACAATGCAAAAAACAAAACAAAAATCTAGCAACCATTACACCATTATTGCTAAAAACAAAAAAATAAAAATAAAAAACAATGACGAAATATCAAGGAAGATATATACAAATTTGCTCCTTGTGTATGTCCTGCATCATACAATGTATACGCACCTTGTATTTCCCTTCGTCGGCGTAGAGCCTACCAAGGTTGAAGAGGGCCGAGATCTTGGTGCTCTCGATAGTCTTGGGGTCCTTGAGACCTGCGCTGTCCAACTGGGCGCAGTGCCTGTAAACCTGCCCAACAGGACACAGAGAAGGAGATTCAGCGCGAGCACCAATCGTAAAAATGTGCATGCTTAAAAAAAATAAATTCCGTACGCAACTCAATAGGCTGACTTCTATAGAATGAGCACAATGTGGCTGCTAAGCAGTGTCTTGCCAACGTTAGTTGAAAGCGGCAGGATTTACGATATATTAGCCATAAATTAGCTATCATATGATGTACGCCAGTGTTACGAACCATTTAGCTAACAAGCAGTTAAGATATAACCATCGTCTGAGAACATTGGCCAATATTCAAGACATCAGCTGGCATTAGCAGTCATTTAGCCATCTTTGTTGAAGAGTAGCCCGCGCTACACAGATATAACCATCATTTAGCTGTGATTAGTACATTAGTTAGGGCTAAGCAGTGCTGGCAATACGCGTGTAAATGCGGGAGTAGCACATATTCAGACTATTGGTAAGATAATTCAGACGGTACCGACCTACAACGCTTAGAAAAAAAAATTGAAATGCATCAAATTGTTTTTCTTGCTGTTAATGCATGTTGTGCCAATGACAGGAAAACATCATCATATTATTTACAATTTAGATGAACTCCACTGAATAGCCAAGCTGTAGGTAGTCTCATGACTGAAAAGCTTGCTATGATACCACGGACATCCCCGCAATCAGTGTCAAAAAGAGCACCAGAGAAGCTTATCAGAGACAAACGTTTTTGATAGAACAATAAAAAGATAGTTGCTAGATTGAATAATTCTTTAAATTTGACGCAGAAACTAATGTAGTTTGGGGGGGTGCAAGCACCCCCTGTAAAGTCATTTGCACCTCGTGGCAGCACACGCGTCTCTTGGATGGGCTCGGGCTGCATTTATGTTGAACAGCCACCAACGCGGGTGGTGGCGCTGGGATCGCGCGAGTTGAGAGTTAGGCGCAGCACTGCTGGAGGCGGAGAGGCTAAGCCAGCGCAAGCAAAGAAGTAGCAGAGGATCCGCGGGAAACGGCAGCAACCGCGGGTTGTTTCCCATAAATCTCTTGTGGTGAGTTCCACATCAGCGACGTCGCGTTCGTAGTACCCTGAGTTTATGTGGTTTGCTTGACTGTTGTATTAGAATATTGTATAGGGTTGTTTAGCGTGTCGCTAGTAATGTTATCATATTCGGCTGGCAACTGTCGTCCTAAGTGTTTGGTTTGCCCGACAGTGTCTGCTGTCTCCGTGTGCTTCAAGAGTGCGCGATATTTCACACACCTCACAAGTTCAAATAGTAAAAAAAAAAAGTGCTCTTCAGCAGGGTAGCGAAACGACGGTATTTGCACGCTACAGAGACAAGCTTCTTGATTGATTGAAAGGTACACTAACCTCAATGGCTTCCTCTTTCCTGCCCATGATGCCAAGGACCAGGCCCATGTTCAGGTGTGCCACTGCAAAGAGACAGAAGAAGTATCTTAGAGAAAGTATGGAGGCCGAAATTTTACGTCAGCGAGCGGTCGTGACATTCTGTGACTTTCTCGCAAGTGTGCGAAGCAAACAATTCACGTTGTGTGGGAAACGTACTTGCAAGCCTCGGCCTGAATTGGATGGCAAGTTTGTAGCTCTGAAGGGCTTCTTCCAGCCGGTTCTGCTCCTGTAGGAGAATTCCCCTAAAGAAAGGAAAAAAAAAAAGAAGAGAGTTCAAAAATTTTTAAGCATTCAGAAGTCATATGGCCTGAAATAACTCGTGCAAGACATGCAACGGGACAAAGTTGTGTTTATTCACTAATCACAAAACTGCAATTACAGAAAGGTCAGCCTCAGCGTAGCGCGAATGATTCGTTGGTTGTCCCATTCAATTGCGCTCTTCAAGGACGTACAAACGTACAAATGAACTGAAAAGCAAACAGCAAGTGGCGCCATCAGAAATATCCCCACAAGTCGCTAAGGCATCACACATTTTTTTTTACAATACTCGGCAGTAAAGATAGGTATAATAAAATTTATTAATAGGGAAACAAGCGTGTCGCTATTTAAAAGGATCAAACGCTCAACAGAGCAAACATTTTAATTACATTATGTATAAACAACAAGGTCATTGTTATATGCGAAAACACTTCCAGATATACAGGGCTGGAGATACATATTCCGCGTCCCCCCCCCCCCCCCTAAACTCAATCGGGAAATGTCTGGTCTTCAATTTTATGCACGAACTATCTTTTTCGTCCGGAAAAAATAGAGATGGAGAGGCCATTTCTGACTGATCAGTCGAATAGTGCAGGCTAAAATAACTCACAGGTTGTAGTGCACGTCCGCCATGTTGGAGCGATAGGTGAGAGCCTTCTTGTACGCCCATTCAGCCTCGCCCTTCTTGCCGTGCGCGCTGAGGATGTTGGCTAAATTGCCGTACGCTGTAATCAAAGAGGCAAGAAAAAGAATAAAATAAAAACCATTGAGTGAACGTGTCCTACAGAAATAAATGAGACGTCAGCGATAAAAGCAAGAAAGTTGTTAATAGCTATACAATCGGAAGCAAGATTTCTGCACAACGCATGACCAGATGCAGTGTGGAAGACACGCATTGAATTACCTGGGCGTACTCAGTGAAATTCAGTCAGATGGCGTCATCTTATAACTTCTCGTCATCTCAGATCTATCGGCATCTTATATGCCTGTTCAAATATTGACAATCAAAGACGTCAATATCACAGATGCCGTCAGATGAAGCGTCTAACATTTCGCCTATGCATTACAATGCAATCGCCACGGTCAATATGCAAGTCCGCGACCTCTGGGTCAGCGGCCGGATACTGAACGAAATTTTCATCCCTAACATTTCCAGCCAAATTCAAGATTGGGTGCTGAAATTGATAAACACGACCTTATTTCATGCGGACTCCAGAAAAATAATGAATTTAATGCCTTTTTCACAGGATGCCGCTCTTAGCGGCCGCACGGTGAACAAGAGGAGGTGACGTTTGGTGACGTTACACACACAGGAAACTGGCCTGCCAACGCTGCCAGCAAGTCAACCACGCCTGTCGATTCGCTCAGCTCCCAAAACGATATACCTAGAACTACTGCGAACGACACCGGCTGCGAACACTGCTCAAGGCTGGGGTAAGGCCCTAGATTTTTTTTCACTTTCGGGTAAAAGCTTCTGAATGGCTGGGGCACATCTGAGCCCCCTTTTGGAAGAGGACAGATAGATGCAAAGGAAAGGTGGAGAAAGGGAAGATGGGGGCAAGAACAAGTGCACGCTGCATGCTACTCAGTGATTGTGACGTCACGGCTCACACTGATGTGCCCCCGCCGCCGCGCGCTGACAGTACTACAAAAATACGGCCAACCGTTCAAAAAAAAAAAAAAAAAAAAAAAAAAAAAAAAAAAAAAAAAAAAAAAAACGTGCAGTAAACTCAACTTATCAGAACAATTATGTCTTCCGAATAGAACTTCAATGTTTTAGTCAGTTTTTTCTTTTTTTTTGTTCAGTATAACTTTACCGTTATACCACGTGGGGGTATACGAGGTAGCATAACAGGCATATCATATAAACACAGATGCAATTATTCGACACAACAGCTGAAACAAGTATTGCGAAGTGAGATAAGCGAGATATCGTGGCTGCTAATGACACACCTGTCCATGATTGCCTCGAATAATAATAATAATAATAATAATAATAATAATAATAATAATAATAATAATAATAATAATAATAATAATAATAGCGAAAACGGGCCGGTCTGACGCGTAGCAATTGTCCAGATAGAGAAGGACCAGGTCTTGTAGTAAAGCCCCAACCACTCGTATATGCTCTTCAATGCGTCAGTGCGTGGCGTGTGCACTCGGTGCCGCGCACTCCCTATCTCTCCATATATGAAAATGACATGGGGCAGAGTCCACACGCCACGCATTGACGTGCTGTAATGCGGGTGTGTGGCTTGGACATTATAGGATTGAGTGTTATGATGATAATTAGAGAAATGCTTCGTTACGATCGACAGCAATGTCATAAGCCTATTCGCATTCCAGCGAATGCTTTAATGGCAGTATATAAGGTGGGACAAATGACTTTGCGAGTTAATCACGTGCCGCATTCGGGCGGCAATAAATTTCAAGAGGCAGAGCGGAAGGTCGGGACGTTTTGCCCTCGTAGATCTCTACAAGTCTTAAACCTAGAAATCCAGGAAGGATCAGGGTATTATATTTGTGTACCGCATCCAAGCCACAAGACACTATCAAAACACGTCTGCTGCCTTAATTGAAGCGCAGAATAAACTCGGCTAGATGAGGCTATTTGTAGTGCAAAACGTGGATAGAAAAACTAGGAGACACACGGGAGTACTTAAGGTATATAAATAGTTCATTCTTTCCTTGCCTGCCTTTTAGTCGTTATTTTCGAGTTTCTTGCCACAAATATCGTCATTCAGCAAATACCAACTCACCCTAAATACGTTACTTAACAACTCCGCGCCACTTTCGACGTTACTACACACCTTCTGCGGCACTCACACACGATCACGCACGCACGCAAACACCACCGCGTCGGAACTCACACTTTGGCGGGTTGATGTGGATGCCCGACCGGTAGAGGTCCTCCTCAGTGAGCCAGTCCCTGTTCCGGCGCACTGTCCTCAGCGAGAGCACCAGAACGAGCGCCACGAGCGACGCGAGCACCAGCTTACGCAGCGTCTCGCCGTTGTTGCTGCTGTGGCTGCCAGCACTACCGTGTCCATGACGCGCCGCGCGCCGGGCGAATCCGCACAGCTGGTCGGCGCCCACGGCGACCAGCAGGCAGTAGCCCATCGAGGGCACGTACAACACGCGCTCGGCGACCACGAACCCCACGTAGAAAAACAAGTTCGTCGCCGGCACGAACGGCAGCACCATCAGGGCCAGCGCGAGAACCGTGGCGTCCAGCTGCTGGTTCGACAGGGCGCTGGCGACCGCGGGACCGCCTCCACCACCGTTCGTCGACTCGGAGCACTCGGACGACGAGGATGAGGCCGACGAGCAACTGCCACAGCTCCAGGAGGAGACCAGGCCGTTGCTGTAGGTGTTGCAGTTGTTGTTGTTGGAGAAGCGCTTGCCGTACGACTTGCCGCCGCCGGACAGGGCGAGCAGCGACGGCGGCTTGGGCTGGAAGGCACTGCAGTGGCAGGGCGGTGCGCCGCGTCGCCAGTTTGCCAGTCGCACGAGGAAGGCGACCAGGTGGAAGAGGCCGCCGTAGAAGGCGGCGCTCAACAGGTTGCGCGCGTCGGCCAGGCTCTGCACGAGCGGGATGGCCTCCATGGACCAGTCGAAGCTGAGCCAGCGCGGACAAAGCAGGAGCCAGAAGTTGAACGCCGGCAAGTACAGGAACGTGAGGGTGCGCGTGAGGAAGCTGTCGCTGTCGGCGGCCGGGTTGTCGGCCGGCGCGAAGTCCGGCGCCCGGGCGCCCATCAGGTGCAACCTCAGGCCGATCAACGTGACGCCCGCGAAGCACAGGTGCAGGAGGCCCTCCCACAGGCCTGGGTGCCGCTTCTGCGTGGAGATTGATTAATCGTCATTAGAGTGTAGTTGTCGTCGCCGTCTTGTACCACCCTTAAATTTGTGACATTATGGACCAGAGTGAGAGAAGACAGAGAGATTTAATAAAGCACTCACGCTAACGAGCAGCGAAGGCAGGTCTCTAGGGGCCACCTTGTGGTTGACGAACACGTCGTAGACGGCGCACACTCCCAGCACCGTGATGCCGTGCTCCTTGGTGAGCATGGAGCATCCGGCAAGCGCCAGCGACGCGTACAGCGGCGCCCATCGCCGCTCGGCGTGGACCTCCTTGTCGCGGTACTTGCAGTACTGCACGTACGCCAACAGCGAGCCCAGGAAGAATAGGCAGGCGCCCACGTCGGCGCGTCCCCACGATGCCGGCCACGGCCTCGGTGTGCACGGGGTGCGAGGCAAAGAGGAAGCCGGCGATCAGCGTGGGCAGCCACTGGTTGAGGAAGAGGCGCGCTGCCAGGGCCGTGAACAGAGCCGAGACGAGGCCGTGGAGCAGCACGTTGAGCAGGTGGTATCCGCGCGGCTCGTAGCCCCCGAGCAGGTAGTTGAGCCGGAAGGAGAGCACGCACAGCGGCCGGTACGACTTGTGGCTGCCGCTGTGCGTCAGCGGCGTGCCCCAGAAGTCGTTGCGGAACAGCGAAGCCAGCGGAGAGCTCGGAAGCAGGTCCTGGTTGCTCCGGATGGCAGCGGCTGCGAGCAACGAGGGAACGAGGTCAAGCTCGGCAGTCCACACAGTTCAACGAAACTTGGTGTTCGGCGACATAGTGCGCAGCTTCTGGCAAAGTCAAAGCGTGGGATCAGACATCCACACAGAACGAAGGACGCAACACAGCAAGCAAGGCTGCTATGGGGACTAGTTGGTACGACTTCATGACTGTTTGCCCCTGCCAGGAACCTAATAAGGGTATATTTTAACAGACGCTCGCAAAGTGATGCACGCACTAACACCACTTTGTGTGTGTGGCTGTGTGCGTCTTTTTCTGGCTGTCCTTTCGGAAAGTTCTTGGCAGTCATGAAGACACACGGGGTGGAAGCTCGTCCTGTGTCGCTCGTTCTGTGTGAACGTCCGGTTTTTGCGCTTTTGGTGCCCCCCCCCCCCCAAAAAAAAAATGTCACATGGGTCCGTTTGCAATATATACGTGCGGCGCAATCCGCTGTCATGATCTCAATTAACTGGCTTTGTTGTGAATAGTAAAATCTGAATCACATTTGTCTATAGAGAGCTCGGGTGTGAGAATGGACGCAGCGACCGTCCGCTTCTGCTACCATGCGTTAACTACAAGCTTCCGCTCATGGTTTAATCACATGCGCCAGACACGCAGTATGACTATGTTTGTTGTCACTGCAGCATTTGTATCTGCATATTATTCAAAAAAAAAACTGCGGCTGAAGTGACGCGCCGGCTCCTCAGGCTGTACACACAAACACAACCTCTTTTTTTGTTTTCCTTGCGTATCGCTGACCATGAAGAAAAGTCAACATTTACGGGAAATGACGGACAGCATTGATCTCGATTGGTTGGCGCATATTCTCTAAGATTAAAACCAGCCAGGAGACGAGCATGAAGGAGAGAACTCGAGGAGATCTGCGGATGACCGCTGGTTTTCCAATAGGAGACGACCGTTTTAAATGAGGCACAGCCAGCCCGGCCGTGGCGCATGTTTTTCTCTCTACTACGCTTTGTCTTCGGTGTCGTTCCAATCTTCAAGAAAATGACAGTATGAACTAGCCAGAGAACGGGTTGAGGGGAATGCACATTGCGTTACCCCTTCATCCCTTTTATTCCTAGGGCAGTAAATGAAGTGATATATTAGAATTTGTCTGTAATTGAAGCAACTCCTTAATTGCATTGACGACTACGATATTTTTGAGTGCGCACGCTAAGGAATAAACTGAGCGCACCTAAAAAAAACGAGGTTGTGTTATAAATACTTGGAACAATCCGAGAAGTTCCATTACTTGATATACGAAAATTTTCCCCTCGTTCTTCTTAGCCCTCAATAAATCAAGACATGTGCGCGACAAACGCTAGATGTATATATTATAATGTGCCAGCCTGCGCTCTTTTCAGCTAACTAAACTCCGCTAACCAATCACAAGCGCACCCGACAGATTAAATAAAGGACTCTCGGCCAATTACATCATAACACAAGCCGAGCATGCTATTACGTTCGGTTCGGCAGACGCTTCCCCACCCGCATCGTATATTGAGGCTGCAACGAAACCCCTCAAAAACAAACGATGAAAAGCGCAGCGCCGGCCACCCCTAAAGGTCGTATTTATCGCCTCTCAAACAGCATTGGGCGGTTGCGCCTTTTACCCGGGAGGGAGGAGGAAAGCAAGGTGCAACAAACAGCGAGAATTTGCCACGTTTGGGTAGCGGCGCGGCCGAACCCGCGGGAGGGGGGACCCGCACAAATCACGGCAGGAAGGAATCGCTCCAAATGAAAGCGACGTAAATGACACAAACAACGAGGCGAGCAATTGAGAAAGTCGACCGTGAAAGCCTCGAAGAAGGGAGGTACAGTACAGCGTGCGTTGTTGCACAAAACCCGCTGAAAGGAGGACCGCGGCGGGGCATCTTCTGAAAGCGGGCAATAAATCAGGGCCCCCGGCTGAAGCAGCTGCAAATGCACACCCTCGAAATCTCCTCCACGTGTCCGCAAAAAGACAGAAACAAATCCAGACCGTTAGCCGACGGCAGACAACATCAGCAGCGGCCGATGCGGCGGTCGGATACTGCATCGGTGGCATAGCTTCATAAATTAGCCGCGAGAGAGCGAACGGAAAGATGGGGAAGGGCGAATTGAGAGGGGGTGGGGGGGGGGGGCTAGAACTCTACGGCAACGTCGACGGCTGGGTAGGCCTGACTAACCTCTACACCGAGCCCACAAGCTCCGGAACTGCGAGCGAAGGAAAGAAGGCCGTCCGTCTCGGTACCAAAGAAGATAAACCGCCGCCACGAGCCACAGCTCGACAAGAGGGCCACATAAACAAGCAGCAAATCTCATTAGAAGGGTAATCACTCGGCTTAAGTTCGTTGTCTGCACTGTACCGCGGGTGGGAAAGCGACGGCTCAATAGTGCGGCTGGTTAGCACGAGCCACAGCTCCAAAGAAGCTGCGGCTATGGCTGCTACCGGGGCTGAGGAGGGCCGGATAAAAAATGAACGCGCCGACAGACTCGCCTCCCCCCGCCTTTTCTCGAGTATGCCCTGTACCGAGCGATCAGTACAAGTGCATGTATATACATTCACTGTACGGTACGGCTCCTCACTCGACAAATAGGTTTATCTATCTAACCATGCAGCCCTCCTGCAAGGGACTCGAAGCAGAGCACACGCCTGAGTGGAGAAAGCTAGATCGCAGCTGGCTGCTGCTAAAGAGCAGAGACTGAAAAAGGAGAGGTGAAGCGTAGTGCGGCACGTCGCGCACTTTCTCTGTTCTTTTTTTGACCTCCTTTCTTACACCGGCCGTATTCCTTATACACCGCCATGCTTGCTCGATCGTTACTCCTTTCTTTCCCGGAACCACTGCCGCTGCTTATCCTTCAACGTCCCACACAGTTCCGGCTTCTAGCTGCTCGCCTTGTTTCGCTCTTGTTGCTTTTGTGAAGGCCGCTCTTCTTTCAATGTTTGCCTCGTATCCCTCTCTCCATCTATATATAAGAAAAAAAGAGGGAGGAGCTAGCCGCCGCCACCTTTGAAGTTCTCGGGTTTCGGTAGCCGCTGTGTGTTGGCCGACCGCCCGCTGTATAGTGTGGACGGTCAGGAGCGTGATGGATGCGTTTCGGCTGAGGAGCCGCAACGAATTAGGAGTCCGCTGAGCGGATCCCGCCAGGAGGAAGGAGAGACAATAAAAAGAAGAAGAAGAAGGTGACGCACTGCTTGGATGGATCTCCTTTGTGTGAAAGTGCTAGATATCCTCTCCGCTCCCCCCTCTTTTTTTTTTTCCGGTGAAACGTACGCGATGCTCACATTCTCCGGCCTGCCATTTTTCTTTCTCAGCGCTTCTTTCTTTTATTTCAAACCTTCATTGCTGAATAGAGCTTGCTGTAAGTGAAGTGACTTTCGGCGGTTCGTCTTTCGCGTTTGACCGATTCGCCAGTATCCGGGCAGCTGGGAGCGTAGGTGTGTGTTTGTCAGTTCAAGGAGGGGGGGGGGGTTCACTGAGGTTTCTGGTTTCACTATAGGTTTTCTTTTGTGGTCATATAATCAACATGTTACTCGTACAGACTTTAAACATTACGTATAAACGCAACAAAACAGAGAACACGTGACAAGTTACACAGGTAAGTTGGAAAGGGCGTCCCTGATTCTCTTGATCCCGTGTTTCTGACCTGCCTTATTCTTAGTTTATTTCAACCGAGCTAAGTTGTTTGCTGCGCCTATACTTCTGAACATCTGTTTGTTTTCTCACTATTGACCAATTGCACGCTCTGTACCCATACGTTGCAGGTAAAGGCGTCCCGCGGCAGCACCGTCAACACTAGGGGCGTACAAATCGTCGAGAGATGACGTAATAACACGACACCGTCACTCGGTCAAAGGTGAGCCGATCACGGAGGCTATTCACAACCAGGTAAGACGCAGAAAGCTTGCAATACCTCCGATTTTGGAGGCAATGTCAAACGGCTTTACGTGCAGAGAGCTCTCAGAGGAGAACGGGGAAGGATCAATTCACCGATTAAGAAGAAAACTATAGTAAAAGAAGAAGAATAAAATGAAGATGGCTTGCACCTTTGAGTCGTCTTGGGCGTTTGTATAGGAGACGCTGCGAGTTTTGCGCTTAGCAACAGAAAAAAGTATAACGCAGTTTGACCTCAACTCCCAGTTCTACATATGCAAACGGCGCACCTGCAAATGCACCTATAAGCATGACAGCCTGAACATTCTTGCTGCAAAAACTATACAATTAGGCCAGCCCGCCTGCCACCGCATCGCGAGCCCAACACGGCGAGGTGCAGAATATATATATATATATATATATATATATATATATATATATATATATATATATATATATATATATATATATATATATATATATCAAACCCAGGTGCTGCGCCTCGCGCGAGATGTATACGACTTCTTGATAAACTCTTTGGACGATTACAAAACAGCGTTTTTCAAAGCAAAATATCAAGCCACCCGCTGTTTTTCTTCGGCATATGCGGAAACGACGCTCACGTCAAGTGGAAGTGAGCTGTCCGAGCGTTCCTTGAATCAATAAAGCGCCACTCTCGGCGTGGCCTCATACACGCACAACGTGCGCATCCCACGGGGGTGCTCTATACGCAGTCGCTCTCGAGGGTGCCATGACGGCAGGACGGTTACAAATGGTTCGCGCACGCCGCAGACAAAGACGGATAGCTTTCATCCGCTCCTTATCGTCCACCCACTGGTGGGGCCCTTTTTTATATATTGTACGATACACGCCTCTCTTTCGGGTTGTATATACGCACAAACGCGGAAATGCCAGTCACGTGCGTGTCAAGCGAGGCGATACGCTCTTGACATTCATCGCGCAGTTTCACCATACAAGATGTCTTGAAGACTCCCCCAGCTAAAACGTCCGCAATTTCTGGAGTGCTTGTTCGACACTTTGATACGGTATTCAGAGGCAAAAACATGGTATATCGTGCGCTCATCCAGCGCCTCCTGCTCAAGAAGTTCGCGTCAGTACGCTCGGT